GACTCTAAGTCTGCTGACTCTGATACCCTCTTCTTGTTTTCCATGGGTACCAGCATGCTCAAGCATGCTCACACACAAATATACATGCACACATTCAAATGAATAAACACTAAAACTAAATCATTTTAAAGGAGCTAGGCATGATCGTCTGCACCCGTAACCCCAGGTCAAGCAGCAGGGGGTGTGGAGACTCAGGCATGAGTGAGGTTGCTGGACAGCCTATATGGCAAACAGTGAGTCCCAAGTTCAGTGAAAGAGAGACTCTGTCTGGGGGGAAGGGTGGGTATAGGGTGGAGAGTAATAGCGGAAGACACCTGAAGTCCTACTCTGGCCTCCACACAGGTACACATGGGTGCGATCACCTACACACACAGGTGCGTGCACCCTTGCACTCACACATGCACCACACACAGCAAACATGTGCTCTGCACACACACACAAAGACAGAAAGGTTTAAAATTTTAGAGGCTTTTTCCCTCTTTCTACATTAGTCTGATATTCTGTTTTCTACCTGCTATACTCATTAGGAGGAATTCAGTTCAAAGCCCAAAGTGGTTTAATTATCTAGCCTGCCTGTTAAGAGTGATTAGTTTAGGACATCTTTTTAAACGTAATTCATCCTTTTATCACGAGTGTGTACTCTTCGAGAATGACTACTAATTAGGTCACAGTCACTCAGTGTCCTGGCTGATGGAGTGAAGAGGAAGTTCAGAATTGATGCTGCAAAACATGGCAGTTCCAAACTCTCGCGAGGCTCTCTCCGCTGCAGATCCAACAGCCCTCACTGTATGGGGAATTTTTCATTTAATATTTATTTATTTTTAGATTGTTTTCATACAATAGATATTGTTCATGCTCTTTCTCTGCTGCAGCACCTCAAAGGTCCTCCCTACCTCCCTATCTATCCAACTTCATTCTCTTCTCTTTTTTTCCTCTCTCTCTCAAAAAAACCCCCAGCAAGAATGAAAATCAAAACAAATAAAAACTAATACAACAAAAATTACCAAAATGAATCAAAAAGCACACACAGGAGCACAAGCAGTCCCTTTGTGGTGTCACCTTCTCCTGGGCATGAGACCTGCCTGAGTGTGACTGATTTCCCCAGGCCAGGCCATCGGAGAACGCTGATTTCCCCTTCCCTGGCAGGTATCAATTGCACATAGCTTCTTGGTTAGGGTGGGACTGTGTTTGCTTCCCCTTCCTAGGGCTGAGATTTCATCTGGCTGGAACCTGTGCAGGTCTGATGCATGCATCATTGTCTCTGTGAATTCATATGTGGATCAGTCCTGCTGTGTCTGGAAGACGCTGTTTCCTTGGAGTCACCCACCACCTCTGGCCCTTGTGATTTTCCACCTCCTCTCCTGGATAGATCCCTAAGCCTTGAGGGGAGGGGTCGATAAAAACATTCTGTTTATGCTGAGTGCTCCAAAGACTCTCACTCTCTGCACATTGTCCGCTTGTGGGTTTCTGTGTTAACTGCAACTTTCTGCGAGAAGAAGTTTCTCTGATGTGGGTTAAGGATGCTGTAATCTGCATCCTAGCCTAGCGTGGTAGCTGTTGGTCCCTAGGACAGAACAGCTCTGTGGGTCAGTGAGAGTCACAGATGACTGGAGATGTCCTCGAAGGAAGGGCTGAAAGGGGCAGTGAAGAGAAACTAGGGGGGCCCTGGGGCCAAGCCAAGAGGCCAAGCCCTGAGGGGATGGAGGTGGGCTAGAAGGAGGCTATGGGGATTTTGAAGCAACCCAGGCTGCCTTCCATCCTGTGGCTAAGATTTGCTTGTGCAGCACACTTTACCTGCCCATTTGGGTATTTATTCATTTATTTTTATATGCAGGCTTTTCCTTTGGGATTGTAAAGTAGTCAACGTTGGGTAAAATGAAAATTAAATCAATTTCCCTGCTTTTTTTTTGTTTGTTTGTTTGTTTCCACAGCATTGAGTTTCCTTAACCTAGCAGAAAGGACTAAACATTTTGGCCTGGTTTGAGATCTCCAGACCCAGGAGGCAGAATGGCACATTTCCAACCTTGTGACAGGTTTTCTTTTGCCAGGAGAGCCTTGACACTCTTGGAAACGGATGCATTGCTTATCACTACTACTCACTCCTTCCTCTTCTTCATTTTATTTTATTTTATTTTATTTTTGGTTTTTCGAGAAAGTGTTTCTCTGTGGCTTTGGAGTCTGTCCTGGAACTAGCTCTTGTAGACCAGGCTGGCCTCGAACTCACAGAAATCCGCCTGCCTCTGCCTCCTGAGTGCTGGGATTAAAGGCGTGTGCCACCACTGTCCGGCTCTTCCTCTTCTTTATTTGCTGATCTTTTTTTTTTTTTTTATCTATATGTAAGCTCTTCTACACAAGGATTCTCTGAGACATGACATCTTACCTACCACAGAGGTTCAGACACTGTACAGCAGGAAGGGGATATTGGGTATTGAGAGTTCACGTTGCATGTTGTCTAAGAGCATGAGCCCTGGAAGGCAGACAAACCGTGGATCTAGTCTGAGACCCAGTTTCCTCTTCTGTATAATGATGGGAAACCATGAACCTTAGCTATATAGCCCACATAAATTGAGCAGAATAGGACTTGGTCTGTACTGTGCAGTCGAGAAAGGCTAGCTACTTTTCATGAAAAGTGAAGAGGCTCAGGAAGAGACCAGAGAGTGCTTACTCCATATTCTAAAGTCTTAGAATTATTTCCTATGTGAGCATTTTTATAATGTTTTAAAAATAACACATATTTCTCAAAGAAAAGTATATACACATACACACACACATGAAAACACATGTACATGTTCGCACACATAAAGATGAACAATCTATTATTCTAGGTAGTTCACTGACCTGACCTTCTGAAGCTTAAGGTTATGCTACATGGCTACAAATGTGTTGTGTTCTTTCAAGATAAGTAGGGAAACCTCTGGCCTTTTTCCTCATAACTGTAAAAGTGTCTCTGCCCAACTCTTACAAGAAACCTATTCATTGTTATCTTGGATAAAGAGCCTAGCGTATCTCAGGTTTGAGAGGAAGAAAATGTCTCTTAAACTAAGAAAGTTCTAGCATGCTTTTGGCCTCTTGACTGGGGTGGAAGGTTGAAAACTGAAAACATAGGCTGATTTTCCTAAAGCCAGGCTCTCATTTGCTTGTTTATTTATTAGTGTGTGGATGCGGGAGGTAACGTGTGTGTGTGTGTGTGGTATGTGTAGGGATGTGTGTGTAGCTGTCTGTTGGAATGCATATGGCATGCACACGTGTGTGTAGCCTGTGGAGGCCCGAGGTTGATGTGGGGAGTTCTTCTCTGTTACTCTTCCACCTTCTTCATTGAGACAGGGTCTCAGTCAAACTCAGAGCTCATTTACACGGCAAGTCTTGCTAGCCAGCTTGCTTTGGGGACCCTTTGCCTCTGCTTCCCGAATCACAAGCTGCCATGTCTATCTGGCATGCACATGGCTTCTGGGCTTTGAACTTCCGTCTTCCCAGTTGTGTGGCGAGCCCTTTCTCAGGTTACTTCACCTCAGTTTTTGAGACAGGGTCTCTCATTAAATCTGAAGTGCATCTTTTCTGTTAGGCTGGCTGGCCACTGACCTCCGGGGCTGAGGTCACAGGCATTTGTAGCCGAGCTTGACTTTAACACAGGTGTTTGAGGATCCAAACTCAGGTCCTCTTGTTTGAGAGCAGACCCTCTCACCCACCAAGTCATCTCCCTAGCTCAGAAATATTTCTTACAAAGGAAAAAAGCCTCTGTTAAAAGAGTTTAGCAGTTTAAAACCAAAGATGTGACATCCAAGAATGTGGTCAGAGTGTCCAGAGTTTTGTAAATGGAAAACCTCAAGCTGTTCAGTGAAAAAGAAACAAATGATTGGTAAGCATCTCTGAAGAAAAAGGACGAGCGGACTGGGGACACAGATCAGCGGCAGAGTGCTTGCTGAATGAGTACGAGACCCTGGGTTTAGTGCTAGGCACTTGAGAAAAGAGAAGAACATCTATCAACACAACAGTAGATTTCAATCAAGAAAGGTCATCACGGATTCAAATTACCTGTTCTAAATTGGACCATTTCAAAAGCCCACTTTAAGCGCTTAATCCAAACAAATCTCAAGAGGGAAAAATGTTGCCTTCAAATCAGCATGATGTATTTTTTTAAAAAATTAAATGTCCTGTTCAAATCACCACCTCTCAAATTGTAAGTTTCTCTAGAATTTGAATTATTATTCTTGTTATAGAAAAATTAATTTGTAATTGAAGAAATTACAAAGAAATTACGGGAAAGAAGTATCTTTTTCACGAAACTGAGAACACACGATGATTCTTTGACATTGTGGGGCAGAGAAAGGAGCAGTGTGCGTCTCCACCTCAAACGTGGAACCGTTCACTTGAGCTCCTGGGTGCACCTCCAGGCTCAGGATGGCTCCATCTTGAGGGCAGGCACCGGATAGAGCCTCCATCTGGAGAAACCTGATGGGATGGAGGAGGGTTTGCAGTCTGGACACATTGGACACACCACTGAGCCCAGGCCTGTCACATGGAACCGGCTCTCACTGCCGGGCTTCTCATTGTTTCTATGGCTCACGGAGGAGTTATGAAACCAGGAACAGATCCACATTCTCACAACTGTTACAGATTAAAGCAGCCAATGTCCACACACTAATGTACTGCTACAGCTCTTACCATGCTTCTTCTAGGAAAGGGAAGGAATTAAGACCATTTACAAGCTCCCTTGAATTTCAGGTCAGTAATACACTGTTTGCAGAACAGAACAATTCGAAATCACGGTCTCTCTCACATGTTCCAAGAAGCTTACTTTGCAAAAGAGGAAAACAAATAAGTAACCACCACCTCCCCTGCCACTAACACCCTCCCTTTCCCCAACATAAACCGAAAGTAAAACAAAACATTGCAGGGCATCTTGAAAGTCTCCAAACGTGGCAAACTGGAACACTCTGGGGTGCTGTAACCCTGCCTTTCTGGGGTAAGCTTGCATCCACCCCTGCCCACCAGACACTTACATCGTATCCACTGTTCCGGATGCCACGCCGGGGTCGCTCCCGTGTGACCAGAAGGTCCATCTCGGTTTCTCCTGGACTTGGGCTGTTCAGAGACTGCCGGCTTCGGTAGACAGAGTTCTTCATCTGTTGCCTGAAGGAAATCCAGCAACTGTTACGATGCAGCAAATGTCCCAACAGATGGAATTCTCCACCGATCCAAACCTACAGGCAACCGGTGGAGGCTGTGGATTGCTCTCACAGTCTCAGAACTGATGGTACTCAGTCTTTGGCTGTCCCAGGAAGGGGAGAACGAGGCCCCCACCCCCACCCCAGACGCTCAAGATGCTATAACTATTTGGCTGAATTATGTGTTCTTTCATATCAAATTAGGCAACGACAATCAATCGGACCAGTGCAACCTCATCTAAAATTCTGCTGATGGCAAGGCCAGGGGTTCTCTGTTGACCTTCGAGGACAGCTAGCATTGTACAACAAACTTGCCTTTGCTGACTTTGTTGACTCAGCAGCCTCTTGTTCCGTTTTTATCTTTTAGATTTCAGGCGTGGACTCCTATAATGTGTTATAAATGAAGCCTGTACAGAATGGTCCGCTTTTAATGCTATGATTGTTGATCAATTTCTTTTCTATAATTACCATATAGATTCTCTCCTTGGTGAAGAAAATAAGTCTGGAGGAAACTTGGGTCATATTCAGCTAGCGAGAAAACCAGTCATCAATTTTTTAATTAAAAAAATTATTTATTTTTTACCAAGTGCCTAGTATGTGCTAAGTACCTGGAAACTGAGTGTCCATGATCCTGGTACTTCTACTGTTTATATTCCAATGGGGGAGACAACTGGCATGCTAACTTCAGAGTGATTAGTGTTATTAATAAAAAATAAGGAGGGCTGGGGAGGTGGCTTACTCAGTAAAGTGTTTGTCTTGGAAATATGAGGACCTGTGTTCAAGTCCCAGAATATTCAATAATAATAATGATAATAAACCAGGTGTGGTAGAGTATACTTGTAATCCCAGCATTGGGGAGGAAGAGCCAGGAGGATCCCTGGGGTTCCCTGGTTAGTCAGGCTAGCCTACGTGACAAGTTCCAAGACAATGAGAGACCTTGTCTCAACAAACAGTGGGTGAAGACAGAAGGATGATACCCAAAGGCACACACACACACACACACACGCACGCGCACACACACACACGCACACACACACACATGCATACACACACACGCACACACACACATACACACACACGCATACACACATACACACGCACACACACACCCATACACACACGCACACACACACACATACACGCACACACACATACACACACACTCACACACTCACACACACACACATACACACGCACACACACACGCATACACACACACACGTGCGCACACACACGCACGCACACACAGACGAATGCACACATACACACACACACGCACGCACACACACACATGCACACACACACACGCACACACTCGTACAAATGAAAAAAAATAAGAAGCTGAGGCAGAGGGTAGCTAGGAAGGTCAGAGAAGGTGTCTTCAAGGAGGTGACCTTATCTGAGTTCTAAATAGATCCAGCCCCTGAAGTGAGCACAGAGCTCTCTAGGCTCAGGTAGCAGGAGCTTGTTCAAGGTGTCAACTCACTTGCCCATTGCATCTCTCAGAAGTCACAAGGTTACTGCCTTGTGTTGGCACCATAGATGCATGACCCTTGAGGGTTTGAATGCAGATGGTTTATTTTCAAGGTGGTTCTAGAAACTACCACCCAGGGAGTGGAGAGATAAGGAAAGGATGTATGAAAGTCAACAGAGGTAAATAAAGAGTTGACTCATAGTTAGGGTGCCTGGGGCTCAGACGCACTGGGAAAGGGTGGGAGATGGTGTCTTAATTATTTCTGTTCAATGGCAAGAGATGCCTGCCATTGAAAAGACAGTTTATTCCATCCGCAGAGCTCAGAGGAAGATCCAGGCCTTGAGGGGGAGAAGGGTGGGACACACAGGGACCAGGCAGGTCAGAAGGCAGAGGGAGGAGTGTAAGCAAAAGCCTTTAAATTGTGGCTTCTGAGAGATGCACTGGGCAAGGCAGGGAAGCAGCTGCTGGACAGTTATGGAGACTCCAGAAGCACAAGGGTGGTCTTCGTTTGTCAAGTGCTTGGCTCTTGGCTCCTGACTAGGGAGTGTGGATCCTGGCCTAGCACGAGAGCCCCGAAAGCCATCTAAAGGAGGTGGTTGAGGTGTGGGATTCCGACTGGAAGACACACTTGCAGGTGCCTTTTGTCACCAGGCACTGGGCAATCCTAGGCGAGGAGATTTCTCCCCTGCTCCCTGTATAAGCACCAAGCACAGAAACCAGAAACTATGGCTAGTACCACAGTGTTACTGACACCCCAGAATCCCTTGCCAGGGCACTGACCTCTCGGTTCTACTCTGGTATCGGCTGAGGATACACCACAGAACATTAGTTACACAGCATTTTTGGCTTCTGAAAGAAATCTCAGAAGAAGCGGTTACAAAGGCTGCAGACAGCTGGCGTAAAGGTGGCCGAGCACATAAATCTGGCCACAGACAGCACGTGCCTCAGACAGGCTGTCCGCTTTCAAGAGAGCACAATGTAAAATTTTAACTAATTGTAGGGAAAAAAAGGACTTCGAAAGGTATTTTGAAAGATTTAGTGATCAGTTAACATTAGAATCTCAATTTTGCTTCTTTTTGCCGTTTCTTGGCTCTCAAGTTAAACGATGCCCCTGCACACCAGACAATGATTGCTTCGCGGTGCCCTGTTCTAGCGGGGTGGCTCATGGCGAGTCTCTGAGGGTTGTGCTGTGAATAGCAATTAGCAGACAACTCCAACCTGTGACAAGGGATAAACAGCACACGGCCATCTGGAGCCACACCCCCGAGCCACAGCTCTAAGTTCCGTCCTTTTCTGTTAGGCTGCTCTGCCAGCTCATATCTTTCCATTCTCTCTCTCCTGCCTCTCCCAAGCCCCTCTAGCTCATGGCTCTCTTGTTTCCCTAAGTAGTGAACACTTGAATGATTTTTTTCAGACCATTCCTAGTGCTATAGAGACAATGAATCATTTCTTCAATGGACACCTGCTGAGAGATAACTACACACACACACACACACACACACACACACACACACACCACCAGCAGCAGCAGCAGCAGCAGCAGCAGTCCACCATGGGACCTTAGGCAGCCGGCCTGAACTTATGTTGAAGAGTCTAGACACAGCTCCCAGGGAAAAGCTTTGAAAAAAAATTCTTTGAAAGTGTTGTTTGTCTCTCCAGTGACTCTCAAGCAAGAAAGCCATGAAGAAGAGCCCCCACCTTGGTCCACCAGAGAGCCCTGAAGCAGAGTCCTCAAAAGCAAAGTGCAAAATAAAGTTGCTACCAGCCTCCTTGCCAAGTCCATGTTTTCTTTCCCACCTCCTACAGCTATTGACATGGTGACATGTGCATCGTGAACCCTGTCACGCTGTGATTTTATGTCCTCGGTTTGTCATACCAGTCAGCCAAGCCTGACAAATGGGGCCCTGGCTTAGATCGCCCCCCTTTTCTCTTTACTGAACATCCATTATGTTGGTTCAGTTTATTCCCAGTTCCCAACTTGGTTTTGTTGCTTTCACCCAATCCTGATGAAATGGTATTGTAAAATTTCTTTTCTGCTTTTAAAGCAAATACCCATTCAGGCCAGGGTCTGCCCTGCTGTTTCTGCTGTATGGAGCATGCACCTGCTGTAGCTTCATGGTAGCTGGAGTGTCAGCGTGCCCAAAGCCAGGGGATCGTCAAGGAGAATGCACCCTGGGAAGATGCAGTCTCAAATTAGGGAAGTGTTGCAGGCAGGCAAGAAAGGAAGAGAGGTGGGCATGACAAGCTTTGCTATGCTTCCCCTCATTGCCCACTAGGGGAGGTCACTGCCTAGTCAGCCACAGAGCTTGGAGACAGCTGTCACGCTTTGAATGCTTTCCTTTTCTAAAATTTGTGTTAAAATTTGGTTGCTCCTGGAAACTCATTCCTATGGTTAACTTTTATAGAGCTGGAAGGTTCTACAGACACTGGGGGAGGGGTCACCATCAGTCTTACCCGGCTGGGAACACTCAAGGTACAATAATGACTGACCTGTCAAGATGTGTGTACTGGCACAATAGTGGCAAAAATGGTGTGAGAGGAACCAAACACACACACACACACATACACACATACACACACATATACACACATACACACACAAATGCACACATATACACACATACACACACACACATACAGACACACACACACACACACACACATATTAAATTTAAAGCCCATTACATAAGATGGGCCCCAGGTCTGGTGTCTTTAACTGTGCCAAAAACCTGTGGCTGCCTAGTCCCAGCTCCTAGAGGGAGAACCTAGAACTATTATTCTGCTACATAGACATAGTAATAAATTAATCCCTGAGTTCTTTTTTTAAAACTATCTTCACTTATTCTCATTTTATGTGTACGAGTGTTCTACTGTGTGTGTGTGTGCACGTCACATCCATGCCTGGTGCCCACAGAGGCCAGAGGGCATTAGAAGCCTTGAATCTGGGGTTACAGATGAAGGTGAACGGCTGTATGAGTACTGTGAGCCACACTCAGGTGCCCTGAGAGAGCAGTGAGGGCTCTCGGCTCCTCAGCTCTCGCTCCATCCCAGATCCATGAGCTCTTATTTTCAGACTCAGGGATTAGCACATCACCCAGACCTCCTCCAAGAAGCTTCTCTTCAAAGAGCAGCAACTCGTCAGCACGCAGAGAAAAGGAGTGGGGTGCTCATCTACACCACACCAAGTTCCCTCACTGAGGAAGAGGATGTGAGGAGATGGTAAGAGCCAGAGGTAGCAGGCATCTGTAGCAAAGCTATGTTTGCTAGACATGACAGTGCAGTTACACACACGAACTCACAAACGCCGTGCCTGCATGCATAAGACCTGTACTGGATCAAGCCAGCCCAAATCCCAGAATGGGAGAGGCTCATGAAGTCCCACCCTTGCTAATGGGAGAGGGAGAGTCACTTCTCTTTAGGGATGCAGGCTACCCCTGCTCCCATAGATGGTTCCACGCCCATACACATACAGGTTGCACTAAATGGACTTAGAAGATACTAAATCTGTTTAAAAAAAAGAAAGAAAAAGAGAGCATGGAAGTTCAGAGGAAAAAGGAGGATGGTAATGAGTTGGAGGAAAAGAAATGGATGGTGGTTTGGATCCAATTGTACTATATGCATGTATGAATAAGAAATAAAATATTTAATTAAAATTTATTGCTTTTTTTAAAATCAGTGTTAGGAGGCAGAACATTTGGCCAGCGACAGGGTCACAAAGTCTCATGGGGGCACATGATGTAGTTTGAATGAGAATGGTTCTCACAAACTCATACGTTTGTTTGGTCTCAGTAGGTGGAACTGTTGGGGAAGGATAAGGGGGCGTGGCCTTGTTGGAATGGGTGTGGCCTTGTTGGAGTGGGTGTGGCCTTGTTGGAGGCAGTGTGTTACTAGGAGTGGACTTTGAGGCTTCAAAAGCCCATGCCAGACCCAGGCTCTCTCTTTTTGTTTGCTTGTTGTTGACAGATCTGATGTAAAGCACCACAGCTACTGTTCCGACACCATGTCTGCCTGCTTCCTGCCATGATGATCATGGACTAGCTCTCTAAAACTATAAGCAAGTCTCCAGCTACATGCTTCCTTTTAGAAACTCTGCCTTGGTCATGGTGTCTCATTCCAGCAATAGAACAGTGATTAACACAAAGAGCACTGTAGAAGAATGAGTTCAGCCCGCATCTTCCTCCTTGCCCTTCCATCCTCCACCGTGTGCTAACACAGCAGGAGCGCCTTTACCAGGTTCTGGCACCTTGATCTTGAACTTCCTAGCCAGTGGAATTGTTAGAAAATGAACTTCAGCTGATTATATTATATATATTATAATATATTATTATATTATATTAAATTGCCAGATCTCAGGTATTTTTGTTACAGAAGCGAAGAACAGGTAGAGAGACAGCAATTCAATCCACTTGGCCTAGCTCGACCTCAGTGGGCCAGGCACCGTTAAAGCTACAGCAGCTCACACTGAAAGCACCTCAGGTTTGTGGTCACACTTTGTGGGTGTTCCTCTTTTTCTTTCCTCAGAGCTTATGTTCCATCAAGCATCCATCACGTTGACTACTGTCTGATACTCACCAGCTGACAAGTGTCAAATAACTAAACAGATCTATGAACAAATGAGACGGGCTGGCACGGAGTGCTGAGCCTCAGTGTGATAGGCACTTACTAAAGCTGATGGAAAGGTGAGGCATGAAAATTGCCTTCCTTGGGGGCTGGAGAGATGGCTCAGTGGTTAAGAGCATCTCCTGCTCTCCCAAAGGTCCTGAGTTCAATTCCCAGCAACCACATGGTGGCTCACAACCATCTGTAATAAGGTCTGGTGCCCTCTTCTGGCCTGGAGACATACACGCAAAACAGAATATTGTATACATAATAAATAAATAAATATTTTAAAAAAAAAAAGAAAATTGCCTTCCTGTGCAGGAACCACTCGCACAATCGAACAATGCAATGCCCCTTGATCTGATTGCATCACTAGGCAGGCGATAATTGCGTTTCACCCAGCTCTGAAATAGCCATGGCTTGAAAATACCATTAAGCTAAGGGACAATTGGGGTTGTCTGCCCCAGAATTTTTTTTATAGCAGCTTCAAGACTCATTATTGAGCACATGCATGTGGGGCCCAGATCAAAGGCTTGCAAAGATCAAAGTCCCAAGGTGAGATCAAGGGAGCATGGGTACAATGCCCAAGGTGTTCTCTGCCCTTGTCCCACATGTGATGTGGGGACACAAAGTACACTGCTACCTGTTTTTAGACTCTGCGAAGGGAGGACACACTTCCGGGTCTGGCTCCAAAACGTGCTCCACTTCCTTTGGGGCTTTCTCGTACATCTGCTTCCTTTCTGTCAGACCTTTGCTTGTTTCCACTGCAGGGAAGTCGTAATACCCCTTCCTCTTAGCTTTCAGGCGCAGTTTGTTCCGGTAGTGCTCGATGTCTGATTTCTGCTTCAGAGCCTTGTTCACCTTGGAGGAGAGAGAGAGGGAGAAGGGAGTCTCAGGACCACACCTGAGTCCGCATGGCAATAGACAAGAAGCTTTATGTCTACGGTCAGCTGACCAAAAAGACCAGAAGTGAAGTAGGGGGGAGCTTTTCTGGAAATTGTGACCTGACGTAAAAGCCCCTCGTCTATCACCCTCATATAAAATGGATCTGGCACTCAATGAAGTATCTTACATCCTTGCTTCCCACATCTCCCTGCTGTGGTCCTATGCCTGTCATATACCCTTAGCTAAGAGCCTTTCTTGTCTTGGTCCCTACTCTGCCTATACCATGTGGTTCTTCAGTGTGGGAGCCCAGCTGCCTGGCTAGATCTTGGTGCCCTGAGTCCAGCTCTAGTTCTGAATAACCTCTGGCTTCCTCTGTCTGCTTAGTTGGGGCTCTCTGGATGAGTCTCAAAGTGGATTGGGATGGATGTGGTTGGAATGTAGAACAAATGTTCCGCTTTAGGGGATTTTCCATATGATCCGCTTGCCCAGGAAAGGTAGTTCTGTAAACCCATGACTTTTTTAAGAGACAGAGATTGCTATGAAAGTTTGTGTGGCTAAATGTCCTACGTTTTCTTTAAAATAACCTTTAAAAGAATTCCCTGTAATTCATAAAAGAGAAACGTGGCCTTGGGTTACCCTTCTCCCTCACTTATGTGTAAATCAGCCATCCCTAAGGGAAGGGAGAAGAATTACATTGCAATCTATGCCAAGCTCTGCAAGACAGCAAATTAGGGAGGGGTGCCAGCAAGGCCCATTCCTTTGACTGCCCGAGTGTAGCATGGAGCCATTTCTGAATGAGGGTCTGCACGTGTTCTCCCCATGTGACAGGGAGCTGGGTCTGGAGAGAGGGATCTGCCCAGATTTCAGAGTCTGTTTGTATGATGTTCTATCATTAGGCTGGGACAAAGAGACCCAGGTATGGTGGCCATAATGAGAGCCTTAACTAGGCAAACAACAGTTAATTGTGCATTAGTGCCAACTCCAGAGGCTTGTGTGTGCATAAGGGGAGGGGACCCAACTCCAGAGGCTTGTGTGTGCATAAGGGGAGGGGACACAACTCCAGAGGCTTGTGTGTGCATAAGGGGAGGGGACACAACTCCAGAGGCTTGTGTGTGCATTAAGGCAGGGGACACACTGTGTCTCAGGGAAGATTACAGAGCTAAGGAACAGGAAGGACACATTGTGACCAATTAATTCTTTCTCATTAGAAAAAAGAATAATAATGAAACAAAATGTTAGTAATGATAACAAAGAGTTTGTTTATGTGTTAGTCACTGTCGCTTTCTGGATAGCGGCCCACTGTGCGGATGGGGGTGTGAGGCGCGAAGGATTCTCCTCACTGCTCACTTGCTTACACAGAGACAGTGAGTGCACAAGCTGGAACTCCACCTCTGGCAAGACAGCTCTCGAGGCCACACTTTCTAAGCACAACACTGTTTCTAGTGATGGACTTGAGTATAAGTTAGGAGAAGAAAGAAGTGCTCTCCAAGAGTCAGGGCAACTGAACTCCCGCTATCAATGTGCCCTTGAGCCAGCACCCACCCTTCAGCCTTCAGTTTCTGACTGAAAATACAGAAGCTGGGGCAGAAGTGTTGCTGATGAAGTGTGTAACGGAACCTCAGCCCATCACAGCGTAAGGCCAGTCCAGGCTTTCTGCTCAGAAAAGAGGTCCTTCCTGCAGCACACATAGAGGTGCACACAGCACTGCCACGAGTGTCCTGGCTGTGGGAAAGAAGCCCCGGTGTGCATTTGTGATGCCCAGCTGTACAGGGCTGTAGCAGGTCCCTTGGAGTGTGATAAGAAAGAAGCTTTAGGCCTTGCGAATTTCCCAACAGCTTCAGGTGACAATAGCAGGGTAGAAATGAAAAGAACAATCAACCCAATGCTTTAGCATCAGGAAAAGCTGTGTGTATACACATGTGTGCATACATATATAACATAATATGCAAAGTGACCCCATGTGAACATATGTAAAGATTCATACATGTGTGCATACATGTACAACATAAACATGCACAAGTGACTCCATGTGAACATATGTAAAAATTCATACATGTGTGCATACATGTATAACATAAACATGCACAAGTGATCTCATGTGAACATATGTAAAGATTCATACATGTGTGCATACATGTATAACATAAACATGCAAAGTGACCCCATGTGAACATATGTAAAGATTCATAAACACTTTTTTTTATCTCATTGATAATTCTACTGCTGAAGGAAGATAGAGAAATGATGTTTTCAACCCAATTTCCTGTTCTTTGTGCGAGTTAACACTCCTCTCCCTTACCTATTGATCAATCACCTATTATCTATCATCTATTATCTCTAATTTTCTTTGATAAAATCTCTCACAGATGGACAGATGTTTTAAATCTCATCACAGATTCAACCAGACTGGTTGCTCGATGAGCCCCCGGATCCACCTGTCTGTCCCCCAGTGCTAAAATGACGGATGGCACTGGTGTGCCCCACTTTTCAGTGGGTGCTGGTCTCGGGCTTTCATGACAAGCACTCACCAATTCATCAGCTCCCCAGGAAAGTTGATTGACATTGACACCACCCAGACAGCAACCATGGGGCTATTTCGAGCTTGCTAATAGAAATCGATGTCATTTCAGAGTCTCTAGTGGCCAGCTCCCTGCCCAAACGACAGTGCATTCTCATTTCCTCTCAGCTCGCCCTCCTCCTATTACCCCCACAACATGGATCTAATGGGCCCTGGAATGTCCAGGCTGCAGACCGCACTCAGGAGGGTGGGGAAAGGAGGCCTTCTGATACCTGCTTTTCTAATCGCCAGGTTGTGAAGGTTTGCTCTGAGCTTTTCACTGCAGGTGGAAAATGCCATGAACAAACTCACTCTGGATGATCTGTATTTTGTATCATTGAGGCCTGGTGCATGCAGGAGTACAAATGCCCCCCACAGCCTGAGGCCGGACACAAGCTGCATGCCACACGCTGAGGGGCCACTGAAAACCCCGTGCTCCAGCTGGACTCTCCACGCAGGTCACGGGTGCTCACCTCACCATTGAGTGCCGCTGAGGACTCCTGCCCCCTGTCTGCCGCAGGGTGCACTACGGGCAGAACGGACGGTTTGATGGCTATCAGCTGCACGGATCCAGAGGATGTGTCAAAGGGATCTGCTGGCGCCTTGCCTGCACTGTCGAAGAGACCCGCTCCCTCCTCTTCATCACTTGCTGTCACTAAAGCAGGCAGAACACATGGGTTTTAGGATGTAGGGAACTGTAGGACTGGATTCTGCTCATGGTTCACCTTTACATTTAAGGGCTGGTGTTTTTGATCTCAGTCATTCTGACAGGTGTAAGATGGTATCTCAGAGTCGTTTTGATTTGCATTTCCCTGATGGCTAAGAATGTTGAAGACACCAATATTAGCTTATGCTGGAGAAGATGTGGAGTAAGGGGAACACTCAACCATTGCTGGTGGGAATGCAAACTTGTACAGCCCCTTTGGAAATCAGTATGGCGGTTTCTCAGAAAATCAGGAATCATCCTACCTCAGGATCCAGCATTATCACATACTCGCAAAGGATGCTCAACCATGCTACAAGGATATTTGTTCAATTATGTTTATAGCAGCACTATTTGTAATATTCAGAACCTGGAAACAACCTATGGGCCTCTCAACTGAAGAATGGATAAAGAAAATGTGGCACATTTACACAATGGAGAACTAGTCAGCAGCAGAAAACAATGACATCTTGAAATTTGCATGCAAATGGGTAGAACTAGAAGAAACTATCCTGAGTGAGGTAATCCTGGCCCAGAAAGATGAACATAGTATGTACCCACTCATAGGTGAATACTAGCTGTAAAGCAAATGATAAGGAGTCTATAGTCCATGACCCCAAGAAACTAAGTAACAAGGGGAACCCTAAGAGAAACATACATAGATCCCCTGGGGATGGGGAAATAGACAAGATCTCCTTAGAAAATTGGGAACATGGGGGTGGAAGGAGAAGGGAAAGTGGAAGGGGAGGAGAGAAGAGAAGGGGAGGGGGAGGAGAACTAGAGGGAATGGGATAGTCAAGATGGAGGAAGGACAGAGACAGAGAACAAGGAAAGAGATATCTTGATTGAGGGAGCCATTATGGGGCTAGCAAGAAACCTGGCACTAGGGAAATTGTCAGGAATCCACAGGGATGATCCCAGCTAAGATCCTAAACAATAGTGGAGAGGGGGCCTGAACTGGCCTTGCCCTGTAGTCAGAGTGATGACTATCTTAAATGTCACTAAAGAACTTTCATCTAGCCACTGATGGAAGCAGAGGCTGAGACCTGCAGTGGAGCACTGGGCTGAGCTCCTAAAGTCCAGCTGAAGAGTGGGAGGAGTGAGAATATGAGCAAAGAGGTCAAGACCATGATGGGGGGACACACTGAAACAGCTTGCCTGAGCTAATGGAAGCCTTCCAACTCTGGTCTGACAGTGAGGGAACCAGTATAAGACCAAATTAGGCCCTCTGAATGTGGGTGACAGTTATAAGGCTGGGGCAGACTGTTGGGACCACTGACAGTGAGACCAGGATTTGTCCGTACTGCTTGTTCTGGCTTTTTGGAACCCATTCTCTCTGGAGGAATACCTTGCTCAGCCTAGATATAGGGGGAGGGCCTTGGTCCTGCTTCAAAGCAATGTGCTAGACTTTGTTGACTTCCCATGGGAAGCCTTAGCCTCTCTGAGGAGTGGATGGGGGATAGGATAGGAAGTGGGAAGGGGGTGGAACAGTGGAGGGAGCAGCAGGAGGGGAGGGAGTGGGAAAGGGATTTGGCATGTAAAATGAGAAAAGATAGTTTTTTAAAAAAATTAAATATATATATATATGAAAAATTTAAGGTCTGTACTACTTATCCAGTTATTGTATTATCAGTGGGTAAGGAAGAATTGTCAAGTTTGCACTTAAACAGAAAGAAAAAAATTCTTTCAAAATGAGGATAGAACACATTTGAAATCAATAAAAAGCAAATTTGTTCTCTATGTTTATAGAAATGAGAAAAGCAAATTTGGCCAAGCTCCACATCTATCTCAGTCTGGTCGCGGCTACAATAACAGCCGTCAGTCTGGTCTCTGCTGACGAAGCTGTCACATTTTGCACCGCGGTAAACGACAAGTTTCCTGGGTCGTTAGCTGCGCGTCCTGCTTTCAGTTGCTCTGTTTCTCCTTCTGAAGGCTGTTCCTCAAACAACTTAGCTCTTTCATTCTTTTCTTGTCTATGACAAAAGAGGGCCGTGAAACAGCCACCAAAGAGACTAGCGCACAGCCACAGACTACTCCGCTAATTCCACAGACTCGTTGCCTCCTACGCGTGGGAGAATTAATTCTCCCATCTGACAAACCATTCTGCAGCTACGGCTGCAAGAGACAAGTTGGCTTCGTGCTTCCATAACTAAACTGACAGAAGTTGCACCAGGTCCAGCCATATCTAGCCGATTTACTTGTCTTTTAAACGGTTTTCTCATGAAGCAGGCATAAGAACGACAGTAAGATAAATCAGGTCTGTTTAAGCAACTGAATTAGTAGGCATCTTGGAAGCAAAATAGGTATTACATAAAATATGAATGTAGCCGAAGTGTGTTCATCTTTCCTCTTACCTGCTCAAGAGACTTGAGATGTTATTTAAATTATCAAGAAATACAGCTCATAGATCATTCTGTCCATTACAATTGCAGAAGATCTGTCAAGTTCAACCAAGGAAGTAGCAGCTAAGATGACTTATAGACTAACCATGGGTCATAGCTGAACATTTTAAAGGTTTCGTAGGTTGGTGTGTAAATACCAGGTCACTAAGCAGCCACTGAGAGAGGGGCGTGTCTATCAGAAGGGTCACTAGATGCACATGCATTTTTACAGGGTCGTTTTACTATGTAATATGTGCGTGGCCACCTTCAGCAGCCACTTCCTGTCAACTGCTGCAAAGGCCTTCCATAGCAGCGGGTTTCCAAGATGCTCCCATTCTCACTACCTGATACGAATACCTACAGTGATATAAGCAAAGCTTGCTTGCTGAGCTTTGCAAGCAAGAGGGAAATGATGGTCACATAACGACAGTGCATTGCCTCCAAGCCTTAGTTAGAAAATAACACGATGGCTTCCACCTGGTTCTCTCTTGAGTCACTTATTCAGAAAAACCACTGACCACGTTCTGAGGCTCTTCAAGCAGCCCCGTGGAAACGTGAGGTGGCCTCCCACCAGCAGACACGGGAATGAGCCATCTTTTTATCACTATAGCCCAAGCCAACGTGACTGTGATTGCATGCCACACCCCAGGTCAGAACACCCTGGCCAGCTCCTAGTAAGTTTCTGACCCACAGACATTATACAAAATGATAATGCAGACTGTCATTTTAGGTCTCTAGTTTGTGGGTAACTCAAAATAGCTTCAAGAAGTTCCTGAAACCGACCAGATTCACTAGGCTCCTCTCTCTCGCGCGCGACAGTAAACAATAAAGACCGCCGAGAGTCACTCTCAGGTGAGCCAAGCTGCAAAGACTTGAGGACCAGATGGGCTGCCTGGAGGAAGCAGAAACCAGCGGAGCTGCCTGGCAGTTTGAGTCTCTTGGAAGGGACAGTCTTCAGCTGCTGAGCTGCCTGCAGGCTGTGCAGTGTGCTCCGGGTCCCCTGCCTTGTGAGCTGTCACCCGTGCTATAATGGGCTTTGGTGATGCAGCTGTCTGGGGGTCCTTTTTGTTCCTGTAAGAAACCCCTCACCCATATTCCTTTTAGTACCCCCTTTCCTAGATATAATATTGCATTTAGTTTAGAAGTTCAAGTACCTGCGCTTGGTAAGAAAAACATTTGACTTGTTTTTATTTATTTATTTACTGAGGCAGGTATTCTTGAACTCATGGCAATCTTCCTGCCTCAGCTTCTCAAGTGCTGAGATTACAGTCACGAGTCACCACACCTGCCATTCACGCTGTTTTTTGTTTTGTTTTGTTTCTTTCAAAAGCCTACCTGTTATACCCAACCTTCTCACTTAGATTTAAACATCTTCGTGAAATAGGCTCTAAAATTATCATGCAGCTAGGCTAACTAATGAGACCAGGGGACCACAAAAACCCATGCCAGCCACTTTGCTGGCAGAACAGTGTGTTTTTCGAGTTCACCAGAGAACAAGAGTAGAAGCCATGGATGCAATAAGCCTGGCAGAAAACAAGAACAGTCTGTACATCAACATTTATTAATTAATCTTAGCTACCCTGCCTCTAGATTGGACACTAAACCACTCGGCAGTAGTGTCTCAGTATTCCACGGGGGCCATATTCACAGACAGAGCGCTCAGTTCTTTTTGTAGCCTGGCCATGTGAAGGAAGATGTCTCCACAGTCCCACTCAGTGCTGGTTTCTTCCATCCTTCGGTCCACCTCCCGATCCCGTCAAATATATATCAACCATGTCCTTTCTAAACTCTTACTTTAGGAGTGAAATGAACTGCCTGAGTATCCCAGCAGAATCAGTCACACAGCTAAATTAATTAACTAATTGATTAGGGGGTGCACTTGGCCGCTATGATGTTTAATTTGTACAGGTCAGCCTCGAATGTCTGAGCTTTCTGCTTCCTGCTTCTGAGTAGCTGGGATTACAGTCGGATACAACAGCATGCCCAGCAAGGCTGATTTGTTTTTTATAATATAATTTATTTGTTTGTTTGTTTTTATGATAGACCTGTTAGTTAAATTTTCAGTATCTGGATTCACAGGCACACAATGAAGCCCCTGGGACTTGTTAAGGGGTTAAGGGCAGGAAGTTGGGAGAAACCTTCCAAGATGGGCAGCATTTTGGAGATCCATCTGTTTGTTGGCCTTGGCGTTGGAAGTCATGTCATTTCGCCCAAGAATGAGAAAAAGGCCGAAGCAAGCATCACTGTGTTCTAAGAAGATGTTTTCCTCAGGAAGTGTGCCTTTCTTTACACTGGAGGAACTGAAGCTGACTCGGAGAAGGATACAGAAATCACTCAGCACCTCACAGCTGCCTCCAGGCCTCATGGGGCAGGATAGAGAGGCCCAGAGTGAGCACACGGTGAGTGCATACGTGTGCAAGCATGTGTGTGCTTACACGGGAGGGATTGGAGAGGTACTTGGTGGGGAGACTTCTCACCATTTCTCTTCCTGGCCTCCTCCTTTGTCACTTTCTGCTGTGTCATTCCGTTCTGGGGTGAGCGCCTCCCCGAGCTGGGCTTCCCTGATTCGTTGCTGATGACAGAACCATTCTCACTGGGCGACCTGCTGGAAGTAACCATAGCAACAGGGTAGACAGTAAGTTTCGACAAGAACAGCCTCCTCTCAAGGTTATGTTATTTGTATAGTTTATGTCTGCAGGCTTTTTCATTCCCTGTTTCAGGGGCAAAGAAGAAATGATACAAGAGACAAAAGAAACAAAAGCCACCCACATGCACCCATGCTCGCTCACAGGCGGGGTAGCCGGTTGTCCGGAAGTACACTTGCTGTTTTAGGCTCTCTAGACAAGTTCGATGAGCCTGGCTTTTGATCCGAGCTCTGTTTCATTAATCCACCACCTATCTCGGTGACTGCAGAGATAGTAGTGACATTGGCTGTGTAACACACCCTCCTTTCACAAGCTCTCTGGATGCTGAGTGTTTGCTCACATGAGCATCTTCAGCCAGGCATAAAACATGGTCCTCTTTGGCTGTTCACCACAGCACAGACCTACGTGGCCAGTACAGATATAGTCTTCCCATTATGGGGTCTCCACTCTGTCTGCTAGTCACACTTGAACACTCCTGACTACCTACTATGTGTGTTCTGAAGCACTGATTTGAGCTGCACATTTCTCTAGGGAAAACCTCCTGTTGCCTTTTTTCTGTGCAGAGCATCACACCGGGCAGACGAGTCTATTGACATCTGAGGGCAAACAGCTGGGGTGCCTACTGTGTGCCAGGGACTATGTTGAGTGCCTCCAAGCCTGGGCCCTGGTCACAATAATGATCCCTGATTTGGAGGTGGTCCACCTTGGTCAGAAAGCAAGGAGTGTGAATGTCACGGAAGCCAAGAGTGGTTTCCAAGGCTAAGGAAGGCAATGCCAAGTCACCTAACCCCGGAACATGTCTCAGGCAGCAACCTCAGATGGGAGCAAGTCATAGCGCCTTCATCCTTCTGCAGGACTGGACTCTCACCTCCAGAACTCTGTGGGGAAATGGGCTCTCGAGACTTTGCTGTCTCTGGAGTGTGCTCTCCCTCGGACCTCACAGCCTACCTGGGGACAGACTGAGCAGAAATACTGGCCTCCCTGTGTGGAAGACGATGAGGGGACAGATGCCATCTCTTGGACTTCTACCGTCAGTCGCCCACATTTAGAAAATACAGACAAACTAACGCTTGCAATGGAACACTGAATGGAATCAACGCCTTGGTCATTGGGGGAAGCTGTGCATCCCAGCACACTCCTCTTCCTCCTCTCCCACCACCTGTGTGGGTTTAGAATGTTCAGTTCTGCACATGTTGGCACCTGTGCTGACGAGTCCTATGGTCAACTTTACACACAAACTAGTTAGCTGAAAGGAGGGAACCTCAACAGAGGAAAAGGCCGCCATGAGATCTGGCTGTAGGGCATTTTCTTAACTAGTGATTGATCACGGAGGGGTCATCCCATTGTGGGTGGTGCCATCCCTGGCTTCTATAAGAAGACAGGTTGAACAAACCAGGGGGAGCAAGCCAGTAAGCAGCACCCTTCCATGGCCTTTGCATCAGCTCCTGCCTCCAGGTTTCTGCCCTGCTTGACTTCCTGTCCTGACTTCTTCGGTGATAAACAGCAGTGTAAGTGGAACAAACCCTTTTCCCCCAACTTGTTTTGTTTGTTATGGTGTTTCATTGAAGCCATAGAAACCCTAAGTAAGACAGAACTCTACAAGTCACCAAGACTGAAGGTTTGGATGTCTGGGATGAGGCGGCACCTGCCAAGCATGTTATGTAGCACACAAGAACTAAACATTTGCTCACAGGGCTTGGGAAATGCTCACTGCGTTCCTTCTTTGGCTACCGCTAACTGTGGTAGCATATCAAAGGCTTTGATCAATTCTGTCCTGGATTCAGCTTGTTTCACTTAATCTTCTAACTTATGTGGCTGAAAAAAATTTCAACAATTTGCCACATTGGTGCTACAAAGACTATAGGTGGGAAATACGGGTGAGGCATTAAGTGATTGAATGTATACTTATATATATCATATAATATATTGCATATTAGTGATATATATATATATCACACCAGCTATTTGAGCACCGAATGCTGGTTGTGGGGAAAAGGCACACATACATAGAGACATATAGATAGACAGACAGGAGACACACACCCTTGAATTGTTTCTGGAATCTGAGAGCTAACAGCACCTACTTTCCAGCTGACTTTATTGGATAAAAAGATTTTCATTTAACTCTAGGGAGGGTGGGGGAGGGTAACCTATTTTACCTTTGTATAAGCTACTTAGTGATTTTTGTAACATTTTAATTCCCTTTCCCCATTTGATCTTGAGAGAATCTTCTGGTGTTTCTCTCACTCTGAGAAAGGTGACATCAAGCACCTCTCTGTGGGCAAAATTCCAATCTGCTTTGTTCTTTGCTTCTGTCTATATACCTCTGTTTACAGTGAGTATCCAACTCCAAACTCCTGGCCAAAAACAAAAAGTGTGTGTGTAGCGTATGTGTGCACATGGCACTAATCAAAGCAAGTACAAGTCAGCGGAGACACTGAGACCTAAGATGACAGAGCTCAACGGTCCTTTTCCGGACCTGCAGGCAGAGGTGGGCTTGTATGGGGACTAACCAACTCCTAAACAGTATGACTCATCAGTAGCGTAAGAATCCTTTCCAGATGACTGTCCTATGAGGTTGACTACCCATCAACCTTGACCTGGCCCATCAATCCCAACCACAAATGAACAAAACAGCATCACCAAGTCTCCAGACAGGAGGAAGGGGACCTGAACACTGCCTATCAGGCAGGCCAACAGTGACTAACCGATCAGACTTCTGTTTTTAAGGAATCTTTAAAAATTTGAGAATATCAAATAACTATTAAATCATTGATTTTTTTCACTTGCAAATTTGGGGGGTTAATCTAGCAAATCCATTTTGAAAGGGCTTACAGTCAGTCCACAGGAAGCCAGAATGTAGAAATTGATGTGGTAAAATGGGAACATCAGAAACCTGATTCATAATGGGTTTGATCTTAGATTTGGTAGTTAAATAAGTCTGGGGAGGAAGCTCAATTGGTAAAGCGCATGCCATAAAAGCAAGAGAACTTGAGTTTGGTGGTGTGTATCTTAGTGCAAGGGCAGGGACCTGCACATCCCTAGGGCTCGATGGGCAACTAATCTACCCAGCACGGAGTTCAGTGAAAAAAAAAAGGAAGAGGAGGAGAGCCATGGAGGAAGATAGGAAGACACCTGACCTTGACCTGCCTCCACATGAATGTGGACACATGCACACACTCAAACACACATGTACTATACATGAATATACACAATCTCCACAAATGATCTTAGACTTCCATGATCAGACACAGATGAACAGAGATGAGGTTTATGTAACAGTCTGGGCAATGTTATATCCCGCCTTTAGTAAAATTACATTTTTATGATAAAATAAAGGAGCAGATGCAGAAATCATGCTGCAGTGTGGAAATTGCTCCCTTTCTCTTTATTTCATAAGCGAGCATTTCTTAATAAAAATGGGAACACATAATTGAACTTTATTATCAAGAGGTGAATCCTTGCTTAGTCAAGGAGAAATGCTTGTTTTCAAACAAATTTCAAAAATCAATCTCTGTAGGATTTAAATTATTCAATCTGAATAGGGAGGAAAGAATTTTTATTCTTCCTGGAAGAGCTGCATCAATATCTTAATTTAGTAAGTCTTCCTTTTCAGTTCCTTGTAAATGGGTGAAAAGTTGCCAGCCTGACTTTATTGTGCTTGGCAAGGATCAGCAAGAGAGTAACGCTATGAGCCACACAGCGGCTGTGTCCTCTAGGAATACCATCTGCCTGCTGTGTTTCCATTCGGCTCTGCTCGCTCTCCTATGCTGGAGAGACCACTGCAGTAATGATGCCAGCTCTGTTCATCCCTCCGTTCAACCAAACTTTGTGAAGTCTTCGACAGTGTCTCAGAACTTGACCACATGACTTGGTTGGCCAACAGGAAGGAAAGGAACATGACAGAAGACTTGAGAAATGCTTGCATGGGGGGCTGTTTTCTTGCTGCCCTTGAACCCTTGGAACCCCCTTGTGAAAAGCCCAATGGAATTGGTCTGCTGGAACATGAGCCCACGTGGAGAGAGGACTCGTGTCCTGGGCCCCCTCAGACAAGGCTGTTGGCAACAAGGCGGCCTGCTTGACTCAATTTCTATCACCTGATCGGTGTGCTGCTAATTCCAGATAACATTGGCCAGCTCTGACCAGAAGAGCCATCAGCAGAGCTCAAGCTACTGGCCCACCTGAATCATGAACTGAACAAATGGCGGTTTGTTTTAAGCATCGAAGTGTTGGAGGGCTTTGTTATGGGGCTATAGGTGACTAATTTATGCCTTCAACTTTATTTTGCACATAAGGTGAAATCCACCGCTCTGCTCTTTACTTCATTTTAAGGTACCAGTAGCTTCTGGAATAAAACACAACTCTGTTGCTTGACTTCACACGGAGCTTTTCCTATGAACAAAACTCTTTGAAGCAGTTGAGGATGGTGGCTGACATTAACCTCAGACCTCCACATACACACACATACCTACGCCTGTGCCTACACACATTTGAACATTCGTGCAAGTGCACACCATATATCACATGAAAATAAAAAAAGAAAAAAGAGAAAGGAAACAACTCTGCTGGCATTAGGAGGACTGTAAAAATGTGTCGTGTGGAATTCTGCCCCCAGGAATTTGGAGATGGGAGAGACATGGAGGCTAATGATCTACAGTGGGGTCCCTTTGTCCTCAGATTACTTTGTCTCTTGACTTCTTGACTTCTCTCCTTGTCTTCATCTCATCCTATTTTGCATCTTCCCTTTGCTGTGCTGACTTTGGCTCATCATCGACACCTCTAACCACTGCGATGCTTCCAAAGCTTAGTTCTCTGAGCGCTTCCTTTCTCTGTCTCCCCCATCCTGGATGAGTCTTCCCAGTCTCGTAGGAAAACAAAACTCCACCAACTCCCATGACTGTATCTTTACTCTGAGCCTCTCCTGTGGACTCCAGACTCATACAATGAATGACTCTAGCACTGCCGTTTGTGTATCTACTGGGGACAGATAAGCTGATCTCCTTCCAGCTTTCACTAAACAAACACACGGCAAACGCACTTCACTCATTTCCAAAGCCTATGGCAGCCTAAGGCCAGCTTCCTTCACAGTACAGTCCAGCCATTGCACCACAGTGCTTACTGTCTCTTGCCTGGGCCTCCTGGGGTTTCCTTCTCCTGTGAATCCACGCGTAGCCAACCTTTAATCCATCCCAGCATGACATCCTCTTCTCAAACCTGCCCATGACTTCTGATCTTCATCTACAATCCAAACCCCAGTCTGACTTTGGTCTCTAAGACCTGACATGACCAGCTACAGGCAGCTTTCCTGATGCATCTGCTGCTGTTTCCTCACTAATACACACCAGCCTTCTTGACCACATTGCTTTTCTTCAGGCAGGTCAAGAATTCCCCTCCTCCGGGTTTTGCACACACGGCTCCATCTGCTTGGAACATTCCTCCTCCCCCAGGAAGCCTCCTCATGGCTGACACATGTCCATGGCACCTTTTTCTAATGACACTAATCAGTAAGGTCTTCCCTATTCTATCTAAAACAGTCCCCCCGACTCTCTCTCCACTCTAGTCCAGACTGTGACTTCCACATGAATAGAAAGTTTGTCTTGTTCCTTGGGATAGCTCCAGAGCCTGGTAAACTGCAAATAGGCAGCAAACATCTGTTAAATAAAGAGAACGAGAAGAGAAGGATGCAGGGAGGAGGAAGTGCTCCCAGCTTCCCTAGTGCTTCGAGGCAGGGAGGATGGGTTGCCAAGGAGGTTGCTTTAGCTAACGAATGGGGCCCGCCACCAACTTCACTGCCTCTTTACACGGCCATTCCAAAGGCTTTATAATGAGTCTTCCTGCCTAATCCTTACTATCTGTCATCTACAACACCTTGAGAATGGTCCTGAAGTACGGGCTAGATGTCATGGCTCCTTGGAAGAGGTGTCGGTAGCTTCCCGTGGCCTGTGGAATCAGGTCAATCTCCTGAGCCTGGCAGTGAAGGCCATCCAGGATTTCAGTCCATCTTCTGGTCTCATATTTTACTATGTCCAAGCCACTGTGAAGGCCGAGCTCCAGGGAAATGCCATGTGCAGAAGCCCCGCTCACCTCACTTCTCTCTCCACCTTAGATGATCCCTTCACCCATCCCACCTACGCCAACCCCTCCACCCTCGGAGTCAGGGGAAGGGCCTGAGACAATGCCTGGATGGCAACGAGGGTCTTTGCTGTCTCTGCTCTTTACCACTGTGCTTTCCCCAGACCCCACCATGGGTACCTCGAATTGTTAGTCTCCATGTCTCTCCCATGACAGGATTCTCGGGGGCAGAACCAACCTGACACAGATTTACCATCCTTCAACGCCAGCCAAAGCGCTCTAGTTATTTTTCCTCTCCCTTTCTTCTTTTTCCATTTTCATGTGTGTGAGCATTCATATGTGTGCAGGCACAGGTGTGGGCGTGCATGTCTGACATTAATGTTAGCCACTGTCCTCAACTGTTTCAAGAGCTTTGCTCATAGTAAAACCTCAGCTGGCGATTCTGACCGAAAGCAGTTGTTTTATGAGACACTTCTGGCAAAACACAACTATCGCGAATCTAAGGCGCCGCTTTTAGAGGCGTTAGCAGTGTGTGCCAAAGCCAAATTTGTCATCCTAAATAGAAGGGCTACCTCTCCAATGTCATGGCTGATGGACCAAGAGTTCTCACAAGGTGACGTGTGTGGAGCAGGCATTCTGAGCCTTCTCTTCTCTCTTACTCTCCTTCTCAGTATTCCAGGTGAGCAGGGGAGGCTTTAGAGAGCAGAGGAACTCCCGGGAGGGTCACCGCCAGTTATTTCTCTTGTTGCCTAGAGGGAGAACCTGGCCAGTGCCTACCTCTTTCTGGTTTCCGTAGACTTAGCCGTCTTGATGGTGCTCCCCTCCTGGGCCGTTTCTCTCTCCTGAGGAGTATCTCTGACAGGTATGGGGAGGACCACCGTTTCCTGCGTCACAGGGATGACCTCCTCGTCTGCCCCTTGCTGGCCCAGATGCTGCTTGGCGTAGTCAAAGCCTTGCACGGGCTGTGAGAAGGAAGGAAGATTGAAGTCACACTTCTAGAGAGGGCCCTCCAATGACAACTTTGAGAAGAGACAGACAGCCAAATACTCGGCACTGTTTACTGTGCTTGGCCTGGTTCCTGCCCTTACAACATGGGCTCATCTGGGAGGGATGAGATGTCGTCTCCAGTAGCTAAGACTTCCCAGGAACTGAGAGGGGACAAGATGACTTGGTTCCTGGATTCACCCTCTGCCTACTGCTCATGTATCACCCTTTTTATCCACTGGATACTTCTGAAGTCCGGGTCACTTATGAGTGTGTGAAAACAGAGACATTAAGAAAGGACAGCTTCCAAGGTAGACAATGTTAGTAAGTTAATTAGTTAGTAATTTTAAAAAATTACACAAATGTTTGGTACAGCACACAAGACATTGATTCCTCTTTTTGAAAGATGAAAGCAAAGTAAACCTTAGTCTTCATGTTATAGGAAAAAACCCCAAAAGCTCAGAGAGGGTGAGTGGGTGCCCAAGAGAACACAGCTAAGTGATAAAAACTGAAGCCTAGCTCCTTGCTTTTCTGGTTCTCAGGGCAATGGGCCCAACCTTTTGAAAATTGCCTGACATCAATCACTTGCTTATCTGACACACACTGGTAACGTCCATCCTCAGTAATTCAATGTCGCTCTAGTGAGCTCCATACATTTACCAAACCAAAATACTAACTTCTACACTGGGGATACACAGTTCAGTGGCAGAGCACCTGCCTCCCATGCACAAGGCACTGGTTCAGTCCTGACCACCACCACCACCTTTACCACCACCACCTTTACCACCACCACCACCACCTTTACCACCACCACCTTTACCACCACCACCACCACCACCACCACCACCACCACCACTACCAACACCAACACCACCAACACCAACACCACCAGTAATAGTAGGCCCCAACAATTTTTAAAGGCAGACAGTTTTATTACTTTTTAAGACAAAAGTACACGAAACAATAAAAGTCAATTTGTGTGTGACATTTATTCTAGACCAGGCAGAGCTTAAAGGAATGTGTCTGCCTCAATCCACTTGATCTTTACACCTGCCTACCATAAACAGTACTGCTATCCCCATTGAACAGATGGGAAAGTTGAGGCACAAAGAGGCCCTATAACTGTGCCGAGGTCTCGTAGGTTGTGTATGAGAAACAGGAAAACAGTGGCTGTTCTTAGGGGATAAATGACCTGTCCTAAGCAGTTTCTGTCAGCCAGGCCCTGTAGGACCGACCCTGCATCTGGGTGGGCACTAGCAACTTTGTAAAGATGACAGTTCCCACCATGTTCTCTTTCTATGACGGGAGAGCTAAGAGGAAAGGCTGCAGATTCACTGACAAAGAACAAAGAGGGGTGACCAAGGAAGACAGGAGGTCAGAAAAGCAGGATGCCATGGTCTCAGCATTCTCCCTGCACAAACCTAGCTGACAACAATAGCAACAGGGTGTGTCTGTGTACCTTGTCTCTGAAGAGGGTGTATGATCCTCTCCGGCCTCACTCGCCTCCTCTGCTTAGCATGCTAAGTATATTACAGGTGCCCGGGATCTCCCCGGCTCTGCGGCCTGCATTCTAAGGATATAGTAATGTCCCTGGGGCCATCTGCCTTGGCTACTGATTGGTGCCCAGGGCTCACTCTCTTATTGTGCCTTGCCCCTTGGCATTCATTGAATTCCGCTCACACTTTCTTTGTAGCTGCCTCTCAGTCACTGCAGTGTCCCTGACTCTTCCCCAGCAGGACTGCGGCGCTAGGCAGTTCCACTCTGCTGGCTTCCTGCAAGAAAGGGGCTTTGGGAATTGAAGTGTCTCCGCCACCTTCACGGTGGGAGAGGCAAGCAGCTGAGCCCCACCAGAGCACACAGCAAGCAGCTCATGGGACGTAGGTCGGCTTGGTTCTCAGGAGCGCGGTGCCTGGCGTAAGCACACGGAAGGAGCTCTACAGAGGTGCCAACATCTCATCTGTTCTGGTTCCAGAGCTGTCAAGCCAGGGAGGATGCTGCTCATCTCGGCAGATGAATGAAGATTTTGGTTTAGCGCAAAGTTTCCCTTTCCAGCTCCAGTATGGCGCGTTTTGCATTCCTGGACTCAGCTGTGATCCTGATAATTACTTGCTACGTCTAAAAAGACTCACATTGTAGGCAAGCTCAGATTTCGGAAATGAAATATTCTGTCTTGGAGCAGTCTCGTTTATCACAGCTTGACAGTTCCCTCTGTACCCTTCTCCCCAGCACCCCACTGTATCTGGGGAGCAGGTATCTTATGTCAACAGACACAGAACACATTCCCTGGAAGGCGGTGCCTCAGGAGACAGGACTGTCTAATAAGGCTCCGGCTTCCCCACAGATGTAGCGCTTGCTATGGAATAAAAGTGCCTTTGATTTCTTGTACTCAAGTGAGCTGTGCTCACGCAAACAGACCAGAGCCCAGCATGGCCCTCCAAGGGCAAGTCCCATGGCTGACACAAATTGCAATGTGTGGGAAGTCAGAGGGGTGGTGTGCAGTCCCGTGTCTATGTAGCCAGATGGAGTTTCAAGGTTCAGAGCTAGGATTGGAAACCCTGCCAAGTCCCAGAGTGTGGGTGGGCAGAGAATGGGGGGATGAACTCCCAGAGGGCTGGGGAGCAGGCTCAGTTGTGGAAGGGCCTGCTGCTCAGATCTCCAGAGCCCACACAAAAGCGGGGTGTGGTGACACGTATGTGTGCCCCTGGAGCTGGCAGGGGATGGACAACAGAGCCAGGCTGGCCCTGAAGCTCCCTGGCGAGCCAGCGTGGGCCCACTCAGTGAGCTTCCGGTTCAGAGAGAGACTGAAGAAACAAAGATGGCAAGTGAGAGAGGAAGACACCTCCTCACCTGATAGAAACTTCTGGTCCCTATATGCACATACTGAACATGCACCCACACTAACAAGTGCATATAACACACACATGCATGCGCACACACATGCACATAGATGCAGGCCTTAGTCACTCTCTGTTGCTGTGCTATGACTGGACAAGTCCCTGTGTCTCTCCAGATTTCTTGGCAGTTAAGTGAGAATAATGGAACCTGCCCTGACTGTGACCTAACTCCCAGGACAGCCGTGAGGAACAGATGAGGTGACGGACCTAGAAGGACGCAGATTGTAAGGCGTTATTTAAACAGCGGGTATTACAGAGTGGACATTTACCACAGGGACTGTTCGAAAGCAGCTATGTGACTGGAAAATTAGGTTCAGGATGTTTTCTGCCTTCAATCCACTACCCTCCCTGTCACCAGAGGTGCCTGGGGAAGAGACATGCAGGGGACAGAGGAAGAACAGGGCTCTAAGCCAGGCTTTCTTTGAGCTACTGAATTGGTATTCGGTAGCTGCCAGCCTATCTCATAGCCTGTCCGACATGACAATGGCAGAAGCAGAGTCATTAGTGGGGCGGAGAAATTTCTAGGAGTCTGTGCGCCCAAAGAGGTTTTGTGTAAGAGCCAAGAGACCTTGTCTTGGTCACCTGGGCCAATACAACAAAACACCATTAACCAAGAGGCGTATAAAAGGCAGATATAGTTCTAAGGCTGGAAAGCTGAGGTTCTAGTGCCAGGATAGCTGGGATTTTGTGAGTGCTCACTGCTGGGCTGGACACTGCCCCCTTCTTGTGTGTCCATGTGGTAGAAGAGGCCAGGGTCTCCTGGGCTAATGTCAGAAGGGTACTAATCTCATTCCTGGGAGCCTCAACTCCACGGCCCAGTTATCCTCCCAAACCAACCTTGTAATACCTTCACTTGGAGGCTAGGATGTTCAGACAGTTGCAGGCTTTGCCTGGCCATCACTTCTGCTGCTATCTATCCATGGAACCAGGACAGAGTTGAAGGAGCTACTTTTCGCTGGTACAGGGAGGTGGGGTCCAATTACTAAAGATATCTAACCTCTTTTCATATCTTTCTTGCTAACAGTTGTCGGTGCCTCAGTTTCTCTGTAAAATAATGGTTCTTCCTTGAGAGGATCTAGTAATGGCGAGAGATCCTCTGAGTGTCAACTACTTGAAAGTGTCTGTGGGAGAGAGTGAGCTGCAGAGGAACGTGTGTTACATGCCGATCACTCCTTTGGAATGAGGGGTTGTGACATGTTTCTGAAGGTACTGGATAACCTTAGAAGCCCAGGAGAAAGGCTGGTGGAGACTCTGGTTAAGCTCCTGGCCCTCCCCATGCCCACATTACCTTTGCTCTCTGAGGCAGGTTTATCATGGTGTCTGGCTTGAAGTCGTTCTTGTTCTTCCTACAGAGCACAGCGGTGATGATAATGATGATAACAGTGACCACGGCGATGGGGGCCAGCACTGCGGCGATGATCCACAGGTTGTTGGGTGGATTCTTCACTACGGCTGTGGGAAAGAGCCAGTGAGAAGTAGATGACAAAGAGCCCGAGGTAGGGGAAGGCCACCCAGATGTAACTCCCAACCCCAAGTCAGACGACCGGGAGAGGTGGAACTCAGTAGCTTCTGCCTCTGCCACTGTGTGACCTTGGGCAAGTAGCTCAAGCTCTCTGAGCCTCCATTTCCTTGTCTGTAAAATGAGAGCACCTATTTGTGTTGCTTTAGCATGGCTCCTAGCACTTGCTCAGGTGACATTAGACTCCACTGTTCCCAAGAGCAGATAGAGAAAGGCCAATTAATGTCCCTGTTCACCTTGCTGGAGATAGTCAAAAGGGAAAAGGAGAAAAATACATGAGGATTAGAAATGCATGTTGGAGGGGCTGGAGAGATGGCTCAGTGGGTAAGAGCTTTTTCCTGCAAGCATGGGGACCTGAGTTCAAGTCCCCAGCACCCACCTAGACATCTAGGCACGGTTATGTGTGCCTGCACTGAGCAGAGGAGGTCAGAAACAAGCAAATCTCCAGAGTCTACTGGCTAGTCAGACTAGCTAAAATGGCAAGTTTCCAGTAACACACAAACACAAATAAAGACATGTGTGTTGGAGTCAGGACTCAGGAGCCACCAAGAGATGACTCCAGGCCGTGAAATCACCCTATGAGCGAGCAGGGAATGAAGTGTAACCTGAGCAGATGGATCTCCATCAGAATGTGTCTGGGACGTTTAGAAATGCCAGGACTAACCACAGGACCAGGCTGGTCTCAGTAGGGCGGTAGGTTACCAGAACAGCAGGTGCCCTCGGGGGTGGGGCAGGAATGCAGCCCTGAAGGGATGACAGGGAGCTGGCCACACTCTATACCGTGATAACAACTAGGCTCTTACAGCTGTCCGCATCTGTCAGAACTCATCAGATCTGTACATCTTCACCGTGTGTACGCTTTATTGTAGCATCGCAAGCAGATAGGACATTCTGGTTAGTGATATGCACACTGACGTGTTTAGGGGTTACCTCTGCAAATGTTTGTGACTCACATTGAAATACAGGGGGCAGAGGAGAGATAAGACAATACATGATAAATGAAAACAGCAGTAAAGCACTAAGTGTGGGTTCTGGAGGGGTGGGAACATGGTTATGTATGGCATAAACCTTTCAACCTTTTTGTTAAGTCGGGTTAGGAAAATGTGGGAAAGAGGAAATGCCCTTGATGTGAGGTGAGTGAGCCTCTCCCAGAATTACATACAAGATTTTTTAGGGAACACCAGTCAAATCAAAAGGGGCGATTTCAGAAGTGGAGCAAAACAGGAGTCCAAGCAGATGCCTGTGGGAGGAGTCTCAGGAAGGAGAAGAAGTCTGCAGCAATCTAGAGAGGAACTGAAGACCAAAGGGGACTTGCCTGCCGTGGGGTGCGTGCCCTGAATGTCAGGCTATTGGGCTCAGCTAACTATTGTCACTGAGGCCGGAGGACAGAGGACGGCTTATAATAACTAGTTGGTTCTCTGCCTCCACCAGGTGGGACCTGGGAACTCAGATCAGGCTTGGCAGTTAGTTCCATTATGCACTAAGTCATCTCACCGGCCCCAGAACACAGCTCCTGATTCTCTCCCTCCCTGCTGTATTCATCTCTATTCCTGCTCCACAGCGAGGCAGGCCATCACCTCACGGCAGCGCTGGCTTTCTTCTGCTTATCCAGCATCCCACACACGAATCCTGTCACTGTTACCAGGCTCTTCCAGACTCTGCCTTTCCCAAAGCTCCTGGGTGGTGTCTGTACCAGGCCTCTGGTCACAGCAGCAAGGCTCTAAAACACAAGTCAGCATGGGCATTTGCTCATCTTGATACCCCACCACGGTGTGTGTGTGTGTGTGCATATGTGTGCGTGTGCGTGCGTGTGCATGTGTGTGCGTGCACGTGTGTGCATGTGTGTGTGCGTGCGTGTGTGCATGTGTGTGTGTGCGTGTATGCGTGCATGCACATATGAATCACAGGGGCATCCTCAGGACCTATGACAGGGCCTTCCACATAATGAGTGCTTAACCAGAAGCTCGAGGCTTGAGAGCATAAACTGCTGTTATACCCATTGCAATGAGACCAAGCTAGAAGGAGAATCTCATTGCCATGGCGATTCTAGTCCATATTTTAAATCCATTTTGCTTGCAGTCTACCTTATATTTTGTGGTCTTTTATATATTTGGTTATCATGAATCTTCCTAACACTGCTGAACTCTAGAGATTGCGTGGGACTCTCGAAGCTGAGGACTTTAGACCCTGCAACACAAAAGCCCCACTGGGAAATGCCACATGGGGACAATCTGTCCGAGGAGCCAGCTGGTCCCCCTCTGATTTCAACCACCTTGACTTCAGCTGGTCCCTTGTTAGCCAAGTTCTGCCTGTGATCTGGCTGCCCTTGGGCGCAGGATGCTATTAGTATAGAAGGGTTTCTCTTTCCACGGTCTGTATCAATCAGTGATTAATCACATTATTAACTTCTGAAAACAGCTCATTAGATAATGTGCCTCTGTTGACATTGCATTTAATTGCCACTGCTCTTAGTAGCTTGTATTTATATGTGAGTTCTGCGGCATTAACATTTTCTAAAGCTTGGAGCTTCTGTGAAAAGTCTCACTAATACCTTTTTCAGGGTAGGCTATTTTATCCTGATGGAGACCAGGAAGTCCTACTAATCACCTGATGGACATACACGTGCGGTGTATGAGAACCTATCCTATATGCATACATATGTATCAGTATATACATACACAGCAAATGCATACATGTGTATATAACTAGTGAGCACGGAATGGTTATGTACTCTGACTGCATTTAGTTTTATTTTTTGGGTGGATAACTTTCTTTTTGGTGCAGAATGTAAAATTCCTTCACCTCTATTTAAATGGAGGAGAGAACACATTTATGCATATTATTATATTCCTTTAGCGGTCAAAATTATATGAAAGCTAGGTCAATTGGAGCCTTGAAGTCCAATATATTCATTGGCATGAGCTCTAAAACTATGAGGCTATGGACAGGGTGAAAAGGCCCGAGTGGTCATTTAAATTGCAGGAGGTTCAGTAGAGGACAGAGAGGAAGGAAATGATAAACTCTGAGTGTCTCCTTGGCACCAGACACTATGGCAAGCCTGGGCCTGCATCCTGTTCTCATCCTGGTCCACAGGTGAGGAAACTGAGAGCCAAGGTGATAGGAAAGGTCATCTCCCTAAAAGCACTCTGAGATGGGTCTGTCGTGAGCTATCAACGGGAATGGAAGTGTGAGCCTCCGTCTGTGTGTGTGCTGGAGTGCACACTCACATGAGCATTTGACAGGAGGCTCCAAACAGTGTAAACACAGATGAGTGAGTCTCACCTGGTCAGATGCTAAACCGAGAAGGATTCAACTATGCTTCAGGCTTCTTTTCTCAAATGTTGGCGTCTACAGCTGGGTGAGCAGATGCAGGGGCTCCACTGAGTAGTGAGTGTTCAGTCTAGGCTGCTTTCCTGCCCAAACCCTCCCGTGGCTTCTCCTCCACGCAGGACCAGCCTGTGAAATCTAGTGGGGCCCCTCTCCTGTGCCTTAGACCCCACCACTTCCATTCTTCCTTCTTGTGAACCTCCCCACTCAGCCTCACACCCTGCTCTGTCTGGACCAGGTCCTAGATGGCTTCAGGAATCTTCTTGTTCCCTCACACCTCCAATTTAGCTGGCTAGTCACTGATCCTCTCACGTCCCCAAGCAACTTCATCCCAACTTCATCTCCTCTGTATCCACAGCTCTTCCCGCCTATGTTTTCTCTGTGGCATTTACCACCAGCTAGCGTAGTATTTATTTGGCTTGTTTAGCCTGTTCACTCAGGACAAGGATGATGGGGAGTGATCACACTCTCGAGGCTGAATCATTAGACAGGAAGGGGAAAGAAGACTGTACGACATGAAGAATAGCCTGGTGTACGGGTTAGTATTTTGACAAACTTAATACAAACTATGGTCATCTGGGAATAAGGAAGCCCATCAGCTTGGCCTGTAGGAATATTTATGGGGCATTTTCCTGACCATAGTCAAATGTGGGTGGTGCCACCTCTGGGCAGGTGATCCTGGGTGGTTTAAGCAAGAAAACTAAGCAAAGCTTGGGGGCGGGGCAAGCCAGTGTCCCTCCATGATCTCTGCTTCAGCTCAGGCCCTAACTCCCCTCAATAAAGGACTATGACACAGAAGTGTAAATAAACCATTTTGTCCCCAAGTTACTTTTGGCTATAGCGTTTTATCACAACAACAGAAAGCAAATGAGGATACCTGGAGACAGATTATAAAGGCCCCTGAGTGGGGGCTCAGCCCGAGCTACTGTGAAGATCCATTTCCAGGAATGTGCACTTTATTCTAGAGATGATGGAGAGATAACAGCTGTTTTTTAGGGAGCTGATGTAAGAGCAGAACTCAGATTTGATTACAGCAATTCTAATGGCAGCATGGAAGATACAAGACTGTGCATGTCCCTATGAGCTTGGGGACGCTACTGCTGTGGCTGAAGAATGGGGGTTAGTGGAGAGGCAGAGACAAGGAAGCGAAGGTGAGAGGTTGATGGAGGAGGGTCTTCTATCTATCTGTTGCTTTCATTGGTTAATTAATAAAGAAAACTGCTTGGCCTGATAGGTCAGAACATAGGTAGGCGGGGAAGAGAGAACAGAATTGTGGGAGGAAGAAGGCAGTGAGGCAGACGCCATAGCTCTCCTCTCTGAGATGGACGCAGGTTAGAATCTTCCCGGTAAGCCACCATCTCGTGGTGCTACACACATTAATAGAAATGGGTTAATCAAGATGTGAGAGTTAGCCAGTAAGAGGCTAGAGCTAATGGGCCAAGCAGTGTTTAAATGAATACAATTTGTGTGCTGTTATTTCTGGGGCTAAGCTAGCCGTGTGGGAGCCGGGTGGGACAAAAAGCAGGCCTGCTTGCCTCATCACTACAAGAGGTCACCGTGAGATGGCTTTGGGAGTGGGCAGGAGAGTTGCAGCCTTGGTCCATCCTTAGTCCTTCCTAGCACCTAGAGTGGTTTCCAAAATGCTCCACACATCTAATCTGATGTGAGCTCCTCTCTTTTCCCCTTCTCTTAGTACCTTCCCTGTCCCTGCCACCCATCATCAGCCAAGTCCTCTTGGCCTCAGTCCCCTCCCCTGTGTGTGTTCGCTTCTTTTTCATCCTTTCCCATGTATACCACAGGTCTGGAGCAGAGAGGAGTCTCAGAACAAAGAGACCAAAAGGAGCATAGAGCAGGGACCAGAGATATGACGGAGAGGAAGGGGGCCAGTGAGCCAGGTTGCTAAGAATGTCCAGGGAGTGGTGTCCTGGGGAATCCAGAGAGGGTGGCAGGATGATGGAGGATATGTGTGTATAGTGTAGACTTCATGAGTGTTCATGCCCACGTATGCATGGAGGCCAGAGGAGGATGTTAGGTATCCACAGCTACTCTTTGCCTTGCTGCCTTGAGATAGGGTCTCTTACCAAACCTAGAGCTATGCTTGGGTCAGCAAGCCCCCCAATCCTGTTTCTACCTGCAACAAAGCTGGGGTTATTGGTGCACATAGTCACACACAGCTTTTTATGTGAATGTTGGGGATTTGAACTCAGATCCCCATTTTCTTACCCACTGAGCCATCGACCCTGCGCTGGACCTGGGATTAAAGAGGAGAAGGAATTATCTGGACACAGCAGGGCAAACGAGGATGAGGTCGCCTTGGCAACCTGCTACGCTGTCCTAACCAGTTGGCTCTGCTTAAATCCATCTCCAGCCTGAAGCCCAGCCGTCAGTTCCACGTCATGATGGCTCCAAGAGAACAGAACCAATCAGAATGCATCCTTAGGCCTCAGTTACCAAATGCACTGTTGTTTTCTTTCTCCTTACACTAGGACGGTCCCCATAGGATCTCTCCACATGTGCGCAAGGCCCAATCTCTTTGCTCACTTGAGGATTCTGACTTACACATCTCACTTTTTTCTTCTCTGTCACTCCCTCTTTAAGACCATCCTCACAGATGACCAAACTCACCGCAAACGACTGTTCTACTCATCTTCCCTTTCTGCCACTATGGTCCCACCATGATCCCCTTCTTACCAATCTTTTCACTGCTAGCTGTGTCACCAAAAAATCTCCACCTGACCAAACTCCGTCGATTTTTACCTGATCGTACTGCCTCTAGAGGATCTAAATACGCCTAGAAGTCCACCCCTTTCCACGAGAGTTGCGTGTGAGCTTCCTTTCTGGAGCGAAAGCTCCAGGCAGTTGTGAGTTCCCCAGTGTGGTTGCTGGGACCGGAACTTGCATCCTCTGCCAGAGCAGTAAGTGCTCTTAAGCTCTGAGTCATCTCTCCAGTCTCTCCACTTGCTTCCTAAGTCCCCTGCATCTCCTTCCAGCCCCTTGCCACTCCTCAGGACCCTGTTGGCGTTTCCTCTTCCACACATGGACTTCCCGGGGAGTTCCATGGTTTTCACTCTTGCTCAGTTGGTCTCCTCCTCTGTTGTTGATGTTCCCAACCTTCTTTCTCTTGACTTCCATGTGGTCCTCTAGCAGACATTCAAACTTAATGTACCACTTCCATCCTTGATTTCCACCCCAGACATTAAATCCACACCGTTTGCCTCTCAACAAACACAGGGCTCAAGTCAGCACCCAGACGTCTCCCCTAACTCCTCTTCTCATCTCCCACCTCTTTTCCCGCCAGAAGAACCTATTGTTTGAACCCAGCAGCTCTGTTGCTCAGAACATTCTGAATGCATCCTGTTCTCCATGCCTAGAATCGCCACCTCTCTCCTTTCCTCGGGATTTGTTCTGGGGTCAGGCAGAGAGACGTAAACACGGAGGACAGAACTTTGGGGGAACTTACATAGAAAAGACAACAACACAGGAAGTGGGAACCAGAAACTGACAAGAACAGAGGCCCCGAAGAGGGAACGGGAAATGAGAAACGGAAGAGACTCACAGTTGAAAGTGTCATTTCAAAAACAAGACTGCGGAGGATGGCTGTCATCATCCCTCAGCACAGGTGTGTCTGGGAGGATGTACCAGCCAAGCATGGTGTGTCTGTCACACAGTCATCCCCAGGGAAAGCAAGAGAAGAGGAGGAGGAGGAGGAGGAGGAGGAGGAGGAGGAGGAGGAGGAGGAGGAGGGGAGAAGGAGGAGGAAGAGAGTAGAGTCAGGAGCCAGATGTGAACCAACCTGATGCTCTTTGAGGAGGGCGGACACCATCCAGAAAACCATAGGAACTGACCTTTCTTACCCTTCCATCAAACCCTCCACCTGTTCTTTGTTGTTTTTGTTTTTGCCCAGAACCACTTAAACTACTTGTGTTTCTACGCACACCTGGTACGTCTCTCCTGCATTTTTACTCACGGTGTTTTTCTGGCACACACACCCTTCCCTTCTTTATAATGAGCTCTTGAAATATGACATGGCTAAGAACACATGTCTGAAGCTGGAAGTATCCAGATTGGTGTCTCGGCTAAGTGCTGGTTTGTGATGGGTAATCCGGTTATTCTACTTTTTTTTTTTTTTGAGCCTGTTTGACCTCCTATAGTTTGGAGCTGAGTAAACAGAGCCCTATTAGAACAGAAGGCCAATAGCTGGAGCACAGTAAATGCCACAAGAGCGGCCACAGAGCGTATTGGTTTTAATACCCTTCTTCTGTTTCAGGAGGATCCTTTAAGCAAAGCCCCTCTAGGCAGGTACCAGTGTTCTACTGCCAGCCCCATGCATCGACAACTCTGTCCCTCAGAGCCAGAAACCAGGTGTCACCCACTTCTAATGCCCTCCAGTGCTAAGCATAGTTCACAAGGAACTGAATGTTCACTGCATCAAATTATTTTCAATTCCCCTAGCACATACATATGATCTCAGCTGCAGTTATTTTCTGTAGCTAGATTATACTGGATCTGAGGAGGAAGAAGAGTTAGCACCTGGGGACAAAGGGACATTATCATCTACTATCATTTAGATATTGCAAACCACCACCCTCACCTAATGCTTATTGCTTTAACAGAAAAGAGCTGACTGATCTTCAAACCACCCAGAAGCAAGTTTTGTTCAGCTGTAAGACCACCCATATGGCTTGGAGGAGCATCGGGGTGCACGAAAATAATCAATGCCGTTAAAGCACTGACTGAGTAGACTCCTTACGGTCAGCCTGTAGAAGGACAACGTGGTGCAGGGTCAAGGCCATCCTCTGGGAGTCAATGGTACTCAGGATCTTGGCTGCTGCAGTCCCCAGCAGTGGCTTCCCGTTGTACAGTGTGTAGTACGTCAGCTCTGCTGGGTCCTTTGGTCCTGGCACTCGCTGCATCTTCACCATCTTTCAAAAAAAGAGAAGCAGGGTGTTGCTGAGGCATCTTGGACAGGCTCTGCAGGCCTCTGAGCCATCAGAAGGCTCGCCTCACCGAGTCGTTGAGGCCTACTGGGCCCGAGAGGACCCACAGGGACAGGCTAGATATCAGCCCTATGGTTCTCCATAGAGCCAGAGTCTCAGGAAGCTGGTTATCCCTGGAAGGAGAGGCTGAGAGGAGAAAGTGGGGCTTGACACACAGCAGCATCTGGAAGGCAGCCGGAAGCTGGGAATGAACAGGGAAGAGCGACTTTCCCAACCTCCACTGAGCTTTGGCCTCGTTTGAAAATAGGCCTCCGTGCTAACTCAGGGCACGCTAGGTGTCCCAAACAAGGTGCTTAATTTCAAAACTCTTCAATTGCCTGAAAGGGGGAAATGACCTATCTGTCTATAATGAGGAGACCTCTGATAAAAGTGGAACTCGTAAACTCAAACTCCTTTCCCTAAATTGGCTACATAGAGGCTTGCTTCTTTGTGTTTTTTAAAAAAAAATCAATTAATTAAATTAAAAAAAAACAATCTTTTCTCATTTGACATACCAATCCCAGTTCCTACTCCCTGCTCTGCTTCCTCCACCTTCTCCCCACCCCATCCCCCACCCACTCCTCAGAGAGGGTTAAGGCTTCTAATGGGGAGTCAACAAAGTCTAGCACATTGATTTGAGGTAGGACCAAGGCCCTCCCCACTATAACTAGGCTGAGCAAAGAGAATGGGCTCCAAAAAGCCAGTTTAAGTGGTAGGGATAAATCCTGATATGATTATGATAATCGTAAGATATGGACATAGTGTTTTGTTGTATGTTTATAGGTATGGTAAACACTGAGCATTTAGGATTTTAACCTTTGACTCTTAGAATTAGCAATTAATTGATAAACATTATATTACAGTATTTTCAGTATACATTACAGACATTGAGTTTTATATAATATAAAAAATATTATAAAAATGTTTATAGAAAGTTCATTAATGACATCAAAAAACTCTGAAAAATCCAAAAGTCAATAGTAGTAAACTGAATAAATGAGTTATGGAAAGTCATGTAATAGATTATAGTGAATGAACTCCAGTTTATATGAATGTGGATTACAAATTATAGAATACAAAATTTAAAACAGGAAAAACAACATGGCATGCTTGTAAGGATCTACGCATGGGGGTGAAATCTGTATAGAAAATACAGGACTGAATTAATCCAAAATTCAGAACCATGCTCAACTTGGATAGGAAGAAAGGGAACATAATTTTAAAAATTAATGCTCTCTGTGTGTGTGTGTGTGTGTGTGTGTGTGTGTGTGTGTGTGTGTGTTTATGTGTGCTGCTCTTGCCTGTGTGCAGGGCAAAGGTCAACTTTTGGTATTTCCTCCACCACTTTCTACCTCTGTTTCTGAGAAAGTGTCTTTCACTGAACCTGAGCTCACTTAATTTGGTTTGGCTTGCTAGCTAGCAACCCCCAGGATCGTCCCGCCTCTAACCTTCCAGTTCTGGTGTTAGAGTTATATGAGCTGCCAAGACCTGCTTTGTGTGCGTGTTCTGAGGATCCAAACTCAGGCCTTATACTGTGCAGCAAGCGCTTCTCTGGCTGAGCCATCTTCCCAGATACATCAACTACAGAAATAACTAAATTCTAGCCATCTAAATCTCCATGTTTATGAAGGGATGTCGTTTTATAAAGGTCTCAACCCGGAAGAAAGGCCTCTGGGTGAAAGACAATGGAAGTGCCATCGTGTGGGTTTGGGGGAGGCTTCGACATGTCACTTCTTTCCCTAGTGGGAGAGGAGTCGGGCAGTGCTTGAACAACCTGGCAGAAGCGAGTGATAATTCAAATATCTATTAACGTCACTCACTTCCAACTTGATAGCACTTCTTACCACGATTTAGCCAAGTACGATGTCAGAAGCAATCTATAGCATCTCTATGTAGAGGTTTTCAGAAAAAAAGAAGTGCCACTCCTTCAGTCCACAGTGCCATCTCTGCAGTCTCTGAGATGTGCAGAAGTGTTAGGCTCACAAGTAGCCAGGGCTTGTAAGAAGGTCCTTTCTCTCCCATGGACTGATGCAAACCGCTTCACAGCTAGTGATTTGCTTTCTGTCGTTAGGAAGGCATGAACTGAAGGGCTTACATGAAACAGACCCACAGAGGGGAAATCACATTCCTGCTTGTGAAACGAACTATCCTTTTACTTAGGGATGGGCTGGCATGGAGCAAACTTGCAGAACCAAATTGGCGTCCAAAAGGTCAATGAGCACAATGCACCACTGTGTAAGGAGACATGGAGTGTCTCTGATGCAACTCATGCAGGAAGAGAAGGTGGGTGACTTTCAAGAAGTCATGGGAATGTGACCAGCAGACACATTGTGCTGACGTCTGCATTTCCACATAGACAGCACGGCACTGTGCATCTATGCAGACGTGGTCGGCTGTCAATCAGGAGTGCGTAGGCCAGCGGAAGGCCACACTACTAGGAGGGTATCTGTGATGGGAGCTTTGTCGATGATCATGTTAGAGACGGATGCTCAGGGGTGAAGGACGAAGCTAATCATATTTAAGCTGCATGGATTGGGTCAAATATGCTAAGGACATTTCCACTCTAGGGGGAACTGGATAAAGTGTGGAGGGAGGTGTAGGTAGCCCCCACAGGGACAGCTGCTGTCCTGACTACGCAAGTCCCTTTAAACTAACCCAGAGAAGTTTGTGCTGGTGGTTTCTTTGAGAGGTACGAGGAACTGACAGGGTGAGCAGTGACTTGGGAACTTTTGCTTCATGAATATCCACATATCTAGAGACTCACTTCCTGGTAATCTAGTTACTGACGATGAAAAGAGAGACTGACCCGCAGCCTTGAAAGCTCCAGAGGGGTGTCGATCAAGAGGCTTAAGTCAGTTGGCAGCACGGATGTGCGTCTGGGCACAGGTAGTTGTTTAGTCCCAGGAAACACATCCCTCCCACGGTCATTAGAAAACCCCAGTGCACACACCTACCTGCACAGTATAGCTTCCCAAGGTGGTGGCCCGTTTAAACCGCCGGCTCTGTTGCTGGGACATCATGAAGAGCTGGGCTAGACGTTGCTCCATGACCCGGGCAAAGCTCTGGTTGTGCAAGCCTACCAGCGAGTTGTCCACGCCCTGGAGCACTAGGGATGCAGAAGGCAGAGGGGATGCTCAGAGCCCAGACTCCCTGTTGGCTCAGTAACTACACCACCACCTGCCCTGCATGATAAGAACCACCCTGACCTACTTACAGTGGGGCTTGGCCAACCTTGCCTACTTCTCCTCCAAGGCAGTTCATAAGTTAAGAATTCTTGCCTATGTGTTACCCATGTTGGAAGGGTTAGTGGCCTGCCTACGACTGCCCAGCGAACAAGCAGCAGAGTCAGGGTAAGAACCCAAGCATCTATAACTCCAAAGCTGTGTGTTTCTTCTATAAGCTGTGTCATTTCACACATTTCGTCATCAAACCCAAACTTTTAAAGATGACACACCCCACAAAGAGTCCACAGGGAATACAGCTGATCTGTGAGTGCAGCTAATTGGGGGCTGGGCTGGTTGTCACTCGCAAACCCGGATTCAGGATTTATTTCTCTTTCTCAACAGCGTGGCCAAGGATTCACAGAGCCACACTAGAACTGGAGTGCATACATTTGGACAAACTATGCTGTTCAGTATCCTTATCTCTCCCTGCTAGACAGGATGCTTCCTGCCCCTAAAGCTGCCCAGGGCCCATCATGTCCTCTCCCATTCAAGAGTAAGACAAGTTAGTGGAAGGAGTGTGTTTTCTCTCATTTCTGGCTCCTGTCAATTACGGGTCCTTCAGCAAGCCACTGGAGTCCAGTCCTCTGCAAAAGGGAAGGGCACCTCTGAGCAAGCACACGTCCAGTAGGCTCTAAGGTCAAAGGGGACAGGATGCAAGAGGCAGTTTGGCCCTGTCTATGGAAGGTACATGGGAATCTTTCCTGGCCCTAACCTCTGCATGGTTAGATCTCAGCAGCCATTTCTGGGGATAAGAGGGGAGACGGTGACGGTCAAGTTACAAGTCACCACTAGGGCATGGATGAGCGTTGTAAGAGCACTAGGGCCTCTCTAGGGCTTTCTACAGGGACAATTGCCTGTTTTCATTTATGTCCAGAGTCCAACTCTTGTTCTACATCCCATGGGAAGCAACTTCACCCCAAGCATGCAAACAGTGCCTTCAGACACAGCCACAACCAAAATTTTAGTGTTCAAATTTATTATTGGGCTTTTAAAGCGATTGAAGCTCATCAGGGCTGGGAATGGTTCCTAACACAGTCCAGCCCAGTATCATGAATACGACCCATCCACCAAAGTGCAGAAACAGACCCTCCCAAAGAGCATGGTGTCTCTGTAGCTGCTGATCAAGCAGGGGGCGGTGCACGCAGCCAGCACCAATGATGGAATCCACACGGGGCCAGACCCCATTGTCAGAAGTGAGGCTCAGAGAATGACACTCATACACGGATCAAAAAGGAAATCAACCCACAGTTGGGTCTCTAAAATGACTTCTTTGAAGCCATAAACGCCAAATGATCCCCCTGGAGGGTATAAAGCAAAGCCTCAGGGCCCTGGCGAGGGACTCTCGATTGTTTGCCAGGCAAGTCCCTGCAAACAGAGATGAAGGCTGCTATATTGCACTGTCAGTGCCCTGCAGACTCCCGGGGTCCCACCGGGTTTCCAACCTCACACAGGGGAGCCTGGTTCAAAAACACCCCGTGTACTAAATATACAGGTCAGACACTGAAATGACTTCTAAGTTGCCCACCTCTCCCCCAACTAGTGGACAAGAGGAGGAGAGGGGGGCACCATAAATCAGTTTACAGGAATCTCAGTCATGAGTCAAAGACAGACACCAAGTAAAGGCATCTGTCAGACTTCTAGGTGAGAAAAATGCTCCAGCAGTTAATGGTCGCTTGTGTTACAGATGTTCTCAGGGATACTGAATTGTAAGTTTAAGTTGCTTAAAATGGGACATTTTACTTTATATGTGTTTTTAGTAATTTTCTCTTTAAAACAACAAAACATCTCCGGGCAAGCACCGGAGCATGTGGGGAGCACCCAGAGCAGTACAACCTAGATGACTGGAGTGTGCTCCCCTGCAGCTCTCTAGAAAAAGAGTGGTTCTTCTTGGTGTCAGCTGGGTGGCGCTGGGGGTCAGAAACAGCGGTGCAAGTCTGAGCCACTGCTCCCCTTCCTGAGACAAGGCACATAGCTCCTCAGGACCACAGTTCTCTCCTGAGCCAGCTACTGACTGAGAAGAACTAACTCAGCAAATGCTACTTAGAACAGTGCTCTAGGACACCGCTGTGTGGAAGCCATTGCTGTCCTAAGCCTGCCTCCCCTCCTTTGCTATGCCCATTCTTGCCAGAGGAGGAAATGTCATGAAGGCCTGGATCTGGGCCCCTGTGCGTGGTTCCCCTCCCCTCTCCCAAGGACCGCAGCACGCTCTCCTTGACCCCGCCTGCCTTCTGGAAGGCAATGGAGGGGCTTGCACTCAGAGCTCGTACAGTGAGTGACTCAGTGGCTCAGCCCTCTCAGCACACCAGCCAGGGCTCTCTTAGCCACCCACTCTCAGCCACCACAGATTCAGAGAGGAGGAGCCTTCCAAGTCCCTGCGCTGGTATGAAAAGTTCAAGACTGCGACGTCCTTCTCGTTTTACTTATAATCACTCCGGGCTCTATGATCCATTACCAGGCAAGGGTCAGCCTCCTGCTCTTGAGCTAAACTATTTCATTTGTGGTTGACTCCCACACATTCAGACTCCAGGAGTCTTCGTGCTCAGCTGGTGCCCTCCCTCATTCTACGAGCAAGTGTGTGAAGCCCAGAGGGCCCAGGAGACTGGCTGTAGGACACACTAGTAAGAAGCAGGGGTGGGAAGAGAAGAAAGTCGCTGGTCACTGGATCGCAGCCACTTTGTCTCTCGTGAAGAAACAAAGGCGGATGTATAAATCAGAGACAGGCTTGCTGATTAGTCCAGGGCTCGCTGTCTAGTGAGTTCCAGGGATCTGCCTGCCTCTGCCTCCCTTTGATGTGGGTCCTGGGGAGTCTAGCCCAGACCCTCATACCTGCAGGGCAAACCCTTAACTGACTGAGCTATATCTTCAAGCCCTGGTCACTAATATCTGGGTATCTCTATCTTGGTTTACTTCTATAGAACCAATAGCAGGATCCTCAGACAGTAGGACTGCCTGTAGGTTCTCTGTAAAGAGAAATTGCAGAGGTCACCCATCGCTCCTGATTTTCCATCAAAGAAGGACCCACCCTCAGCAAGAGGGGGAAAGTACAACATGTAAGTTCAGTTGTAAAACAGACAAGAGCAAGTAGAGCTTGCAATAGGAACTACAGAAAGGGGGAGTTGCTACAAACTGAAAAGGACAGGGCTTGTGGTGATGGTCTGGAGCCCAGGCCGAGCAAAGACCCTCATTGCTAGCTCCTGATAATCAACCCTTTCTTTTATGATAGGGCAAGCTAGCACAGGCTCCCTAGAAGTCTGTAAAGTGGTCATGGTTCATATGGAAGGCAAGAGGGCCATGCCATAGCATGATTCCAGTTCCTCATAAGCACTAACTGATCGATGCCACCAGCTGAGGGACAGAGGCAGTCCTGTTTAGATCACTGCAATGCTAATAACAGCAATGAGGGAGGAAGTTACATAAGTGAGCACGAAGAGTTAAGTCCCAGGGGAGCCCGGAAAAAATGACCGTGTGCATAGCTTTCCTTAGGGTAATGGCACCCAAACAAAGGCACAGCAAGGCATGGGCAGATGGGGAGGGGGTACCCCCCCGGTGGCTGTCAAGGGCAGCCTGTGCGTAAGAATGGATTATGATCACTGAGTGTAAACTTTAAAGTTCAGAGACGGGGGAATATCTGTGAAGGAAGAGGCACCATTGCTTGAGGAGAGGACACGTGATTTTGTAGCGTTATGTAACCCGCTGGCTCAGGCATGTGTTGCTGGGTTAGCATGGCCTCTCTGGGGTTTGCATCCTGGTAGCTGTTTCTAATTTGTTAAAAATATGCTTCTTTAGTTTGCCTTCTTAGCAGTTAAAATGGTCTCTGCATACCAAAGACCCTGCAGTGGGGGCACATGGGCGATGTGTCCTTGAGAAGAGAGCCTAGGCAGGCATCACACAGCAGGGTGGGAACTCCTTGGATGGGACTTTAGGCCACAGCCCACCTGCCACATGCTTGGGACAGCAGCGAGGGAAGGACAGATGAAGGAAGGGAACTCAGGGCACTGCTCCCCTACGCACATTTCCGAGTCTTGAAGGATCTTCCTACCTCTCATTGACGGGCTGGGCTATGTTCCCCCAGTTCATACGCACAAGTCCCAACCCCCAGCATGTCAGAGGGTGACAGTGTTTGGACAGAGGGTCTTTGTAGGGGTAATGAAATTAAAATGAGGTCACCAACATGGACCATCAGCCAATGTGTCTGGTGCCCTTCTAAGAAAAGGAAATCAGGGGGCTGGAGAGATGGCTCAGAGGTTAAGAACATTGCCTGCTCTTCCAAAGGTCCTGAGTTCAATTCCCAGCAACCACAAGGTGGCTCACAACCATCTGCAATGGGGTCTAGTGCCCTCTTCTGGCCTGCAGACAGAATATTGTATACATAATAAATAAATAAATACTTTAAAAAAAAGAAAAGGAAATCAGGACAGACAGGCTCAGGGAAGAACAAGCGGAGAGAAGGTGACCAGCTACAAGTCAAGGGGATGGGAAGAAGATGCAAAACTATTATTGGTGTCTCAATCTCAGACTTATAGACCATGGAGAATGTAACTTTCAACTGTCTACACTCTGATGGCTGGGCTGGTCCCTTTCCTCCTACCAACAGCTGTCCTCTCCATTTGCCTCAATAATGCTGCTTCTCTCATTTTAGAGGCACTGGGAGACTTTGGAAAAACACAAACAGAATGCTGTTGCTGGTTCATAGTATTCAGCTGTGAAATGCCAAGGGATAAAGAAAATGCCACCAGGACACTCCTGCTCTTCGACTCCCACTCGACCTCATCTGCAGAGCACAAGGATTGTCGTGGCTGGCATCACGTGCCCCGAGAAAGAGCAGCACATATATGGCCCTCCTCTGGCTTTAATTTGGGCTTTTCAGGACAGTGCAGAAAAGCCTGCTGTCTGTTCAGACAAACACTCACACAGACGTGCCCCAGACGGCCACCCACATAGACGTGACCCCTGACGGCCACCCCCTCAGACGTGCCCCAGACGGCCACCCACACAGACGTGCCCCAGACGACCACCCACACAGACGTGCCCCAGACGGCCACCCACACAGACGTGCCCCAGACGGCCACCCACACAGACGTGCCCCCACACAGACGTGCCCCCACACAGACGCACCCCCACACAGACGCACCCCCACACAGACGTGCCCAAGACGGCACCCACACAGACGTGCCCCAGACGACCACCCACACAGACGTGCCCCAGACGGCCACCCACACAGACGTGCCCCAGACGGCCACCCACACAGACGTACCCCCACACAGACGGCACCCACTGGTGCTGCCATGAGATAGGCTGAAGACGGGACCACTGAAGTAGCAGTTTTGAACTATTTATCAGTAATCATCTTCAGGGTGTTCTTTTCTCAGCCTCCCCACTCCCTTCCAGTCCGATAGAAGGGACTCCTTGATTTATTAGGGAGGACCAAATGGCACCCTTTTTAGACAAACCAACTTGATGGTACAGAGAGGGACATACGGAAATCAGATGTTACCTGTGACGACCCAGTAGTCTCTGGTTGTTTCTGATATATCAAGGTTGGGATATTCCAGTGCTGAAACAGATAAAACACACATGGGCTCTCTTTGATAGGCTGTATGAGTAAACATTATCAAGGGGAACACGGAAGTGACGAGCTGGAAAGCAGCTGAGTCCCACACTGCCGTTTCTGAGAAATCTATTGCACACAGGTCAAACTATCTTATTGTATAGATAGTGACTCAGTAGGGGACAAGGGGCTCAGATTCAGGAGATTCTCTTTGTGAAGTTTTCCCTCCAAGCCTTCTTACAAGGAACAACATGACTATCAGCACCCACAGCTGCAGCCTGCCTTAGCTGGAGCTTCCTCTGAATAGGTCATCTAGCACCATGGAGGTCTAAGGAGTGGAGATCTCTTCACGGGGTCTTTCCGGCATTGCGGGCTTACATGTGGTACTGAAAGTTATCGTCTGCTTTACCAGCATGCTCACTATGAGAATCCACCCATGAAGAGGACATAGTACAGTGGCTCACACACAGTCGGTGCTCAGTAAATCTTTCATGTGTGTGTAAGTGTACACATGTATGCTTAAGCCGGAGGAGGATGGCAAGTGTCTTTCTAAATTGCTTCCCACCCTGCTTTCTGAGACAGGATCTCTCACTGAACTCTGATCTTGTTGATTCGGCTAGGCTGGCTGTCCTGGGCCAACCTCCCAGCACTAGTGTTACAATTGTGAGCACCTCACTAGGATTTTCTTCTTTCAATGTGGGTACTGAGCTAAAACTCAGATTTTCAGGCTTGCACAGCAAGCACTTCAGCAACTGAGCCATTTCCCAAGTCCATACCACTCAGTTCAACTTAACTGATTATTATTAGAATACCGAGCTGGTTAAAGAAGGTAACTCCTGCTGCCCTGTGACATCCTACCGCCATCTTTCATGACGTAATCTTTTCATGAGTTCCGAGTCATCCTGACTGCCTGAAAGTGTATAAGATCTTTCCAATAAACACGTTCAAAAAACTTCTCAGTGGTTGCTAAGTGACAAGTATGTACCTTTTACACGCATGCACACACACACATGTTCATGTGCATACACATGCGATCTCATTTATTTATAGTTTCAAAACAACTCTAGAAAAAAATTACAGAACACTTTTGCTAATGGGTATATTTTAAAAGGAAATCTTTGCCAGTGACCTTGTGAAATATAACAATTAAATGTAGGGCAGAGAGCGTCACTTCCTTTAGCTACCCAGCCAATGTCTAGTGACAAAATGCGGGCTGCTCTGTCTTCAAAGTCCAGTTGACTGCATAGCAATGAGGATTATGTAACCAGCCTTACCAAGAGCCAAGGCCTCAGACTATGGGGACTTCAAGTGAAGTCACGACACCGATTGCAAAGTTTGCATTCTGCTGCCTGTAGTCAGCTGGACCGAAAGGTCTAGGAACATTTGTGCAGGGGAAAGAAAACCATGGCAACCAGGACTGTTCCTACAGACAGATGCCCTGGGAGGCAATGCTCAGAGCACAGGTCCCCACGCAGCCCTGTTAGCTGTGGGAGAGTGGATATCCTATGAAAATTGGGAGGGGGAGCTTCATTTTTTTTCTCCTGGTTTCGCACCCACCTCACAGGCTCATTATAAGCATCAAGCAAGGGCTTTCTTGCAGTGTGCCATGAACTTTTTGACAATTTAACCCCACGTGTTGCATTTTTCAGTTGCTCATGATAATACACACAGTATGCAGCGTAGCATGACACAGGTTATTCTGTTACACGGAGAATACCCCCAGGGAAAACCCAGGGCCCTTCTACATGAGGCTGAGGTGCACATACTCACGTTCAGCGATGGTGAGCGGAGGGTAAGTGAGGTAGAATCCTACCAGCTCAGCGGAGAGCTGGCTAAGGAGGCTGCTGGCCACGGTGCCATTGAGAAAGGAGCTCTGATTGCCCACAGCATACACCAGTGTGACGGCTTGGGAGGCATTGGACGTGCTCACGATCTGAATGACACAGGAGCAAAAGGGAAGGAGACATGCCAAATAAGGTGAGGGTCTGTGTCATGGAGGCCAAGGAAGGGACCTTCCAACAGAAGTTGTGGGTTGCGACGGAAGGGCAGTGGGGAGACAGCAAAGAGGAAAAAAGAATAGTAAGTCATTGTTTAGAGATGGTAGGATCATGCCAGGCACTGGGCTATGGGAGTACACCATCTCTATCTCACTCTACCCCTGCAAGGACTGTCTATTTATGACTGCCCTTCACACATGTGGAAACCACGGCCTGGCGTGACCCGGATTTGTCTGAGGTCATGCAGCTCATGCATGACAGAGCCAGGATTTGAACCCAAGTAATCTTGATTTCTGGCTCTTAATCAGGCGTGTGTCTTTCCCAGGGGTTAAGCTGACTCAAGTGACCGCTGTAATTCTGGAAATAGAAAGGAGAGCATGGGGTACAGGAGGATGGCCCAACTTCCAAATGTTCAGGGACCTTTCAGCTTGTTGTGAGCAGGGTGACGGAATATGAGTGTAACAGGAATTCAGAAATACAGAATAGATCCTTTATGGCACAATGACTTCCTTTTGTGAACCATTAATTTGGTATGGAGTGTGAGAAAGACGTTCTCTAAGATAACACAGGTTTCTCCTCATCCTCAGTCTTATTTCATTTTTAGTTGCTAGGGAAAAATGAGATTTTCTGGGTCAGTGTACGGATAAAAATATCTCGAACATTTGAAAAACACGAGCAGGGGAAAAATCACTGGCTGGGCAAGATGCTTTTGCTGGGCGATGTGTGTGTGTCTGCCCTTTCTCTCCAGATCTCCTTGCCATTGCCCTGTATGTCACAAAGGGCATCCCACAGGTTCCACCATGCTTTCTTTGGGAGAGAGGAAAAAAGGGCAGGGTATTAATGCCAGTCACCCTCCCAGTAGGCATCAGTCCCAGGCATAGCCTGGATATTAGGCTGTCTCTGCCTGCACGTTCAGCTGAGATGCCTTTATGGAACTCTCAAGTTCCTTTTGAGGACTGTCTTACATACCTGGGGACTGCCTGCCGCCTGGCCTGCTGGGGCCTTTTTGCCTAGGCGACATCTCTACAGCTTTGCTCTCTGTCCCGACTTGGAAGAGAGCTGCTCAGAATAGCGTCTGCACTTTGCTGTCTGTTTTCTCCACAGGTGGCAAACGTCTCTCAGTTCTCCAACCAAGAGTCATAACCCCTTGCCAAGGATAACCCAGCCAACATTTCTGCTCAGCTCTTGCTCTCCTCCCAGAAAGTAATTCTGGAATGTGCTTCAGCTACAGGTATTCAGACCTCTGTTCCGGGTATGCAGAAGAAAAAAAACCCAACACTTTCTGATGACTTAAACGAGTTTGCTGAGAACTGGAGAGATGGCTCAGTGGCTAAGCGCTAAAAGCATTGGGTCTCTTTCAGAGGACCCGAGTTTGATGGGCAGCACCCAGATCAGGTGGCTCACAACCACCTGTAACTCCAGCTCTGGGGAATCCAGTGCCCTCTTCTGGCCTCTTAGGGCACCCACATGTATGCATAAACACACACACACACACACACCACACCCCACACATAATAAAATAAATATCAAATAATAAAACTAATTAATCTTTATTGCTATTGTGATTGTGAGAATTTACTGAATACATGCCACCTTTTAATAAATAGCACTAAATCTCCCTGGACCTCCAAGAAGTCCATAAAACTAGTAATATAGAATTGGTTTTGTTTTTGAGAGTGATCATCCTAACAAATGTGAAATGGTGTCTCATGATTATTAGGTCAAAGCCTTTTTCTCCCAGCTCTCCGTGTTTGCTGCTCTCCTTGTGATGACATAGCTCCAACCCAGGGCATAATGCATGCTGGAAAAAGACAATGGCACTCATCCTAGCCTTCTTTAGCTGTTAACTTTCTTTTAGCTGATGCATAGCAGGAATCCTTCCCATTTCTTTAAGTTCTGGATATGAATCACTTATCAGATAGATGATTCATAATTCTGTGGGTGATCTTTTACCCTGTTATTAGTGTCTGTTGATGGGCAAAGTTCTTATTTTCAAGGTTCTCCAACTGGTTTGTTTCTCTGGGCTTTGCGGTTTTCCAGTAGTGTCTAAGACACCCAGGCCCATGAAATCATTCCTCTATGCTCTGAGCCTTTCGACTTTAGTTCTTACATGTAGGTCTTTGATTGACTTCAAGACAATTTTGGTTGATGATGTTAGTTACAGCTCCAGCTTCCTCCTTTTGCAATGTGTATATTCATCATTAAAAAGATCATCCTTTTCACCATAGACCAACATTGATAAAAACAGCGGACTTGTTTCTGGCCTCTCTATCTAGGCCAGTGATCTCTGTGTCTGTCATAAAGTTGAGACCACACTGATTCAGTTATCATAGCTTTTTAAATTAATTTTTGAAAAAAACGAAGTGCAAAACTTAGAAAATTTGTCCTCTGCCAAGACTGTTTTGTCCTTCAAGGTCGTTTTGAGGGACCACTCAAACTTCAGGATAGATTTCTCTATTTCTGTCTTTAAAAACATCACTGGGATTGGTGTGTGTGTGTGTGTGTGTGTGTGTGTGTGTGTGTGTGTGTGTGCGCGCGCGCACACACATGCCCATGAAGGTCAGAAGAGTGTGTCAGAACCCCTGGTGATGGAGTTATAGGTGGCTGTGAACTGCCTGGTGTGGATACTAGTCACTGAACTCAGGTCTTTTGCAAGATCAGCAAACATTCTCAACAGTTGAGCCATCACTCTAGGTCCCCCATCCCACTGGTTTTTGAGACAGGAATGTTTACTTCTGACTGGTCTTGAACTTGCTATGCAAGCTAGTCTGCTCTTGCATCTACATCAATCCTGTCTCTTTCTCCAGAATGGGATTTCTGTAGCAATCACATTCAATCTACAATCCCCATTGGTGAATATTGAGATCCTTGTAGCTGAAGGTTTCCCAAGCATGCACACAGCTCTGTTTCCATGCCTCTGGATCTTCCTTAATGAACTCAGTGATGTCATTTTAGAAAGCCTCTGACCTCATCTCTTCTCATTCATTCATTCTGGTTCATTAGCTCATTAGGCCACAGGCCGAATGTTCCTCGCATCTTTCTCCTTCTATGACAGTAGCGCCATGATCCCTGGAAAGCCACCTCCCTTCTCTACTTTGTCCATGTGCTTTGGACACAGCTACCACTTCCCATGTTCAGAAGTAGGCATTTGTGTCAGACACTGATCAGGATACTTCATCTCCTTGGTCACAGTTACCAACCCAGAAGAGGCACAATGAGAGCAGGAACCAAGGTCTGGATTAAAATGATGTAAAAAAAAAAAGGTTCTTTGGTTCCAAAAGACGATAAGCAATAGGAACAGGCAAATCTGGAAGCACCAAGGACCACTCAGTAGAGGCAAGAAGTGTGCTGGGGCCAGAGAGACAGCTCAGCAGTCAAGAGCACTTGAGCTGGAGAGATGGCTCAGTGGTTAAGAGCATTGCCTGCTCTTCCAAAGGTCCTGAGTTCAATTCCCAGCAACCACATAGTGGCTCACAACCATCTATAATGAGGCCTGGTGCCCTCTTTTGGCCTACAGACATACACACAGACAGACTATTATATAATAAATAAATAAATATTTAAAAGAGCACTTGTCGTTCTTCCAGAGGCCTGGGTGCATCTCCCAAGCACGCCTAAGGCATCTAACAGCCATCTGTAACTCAAGTTCTAGAAGAGCAGACAGCCTTGTCTGGCCTCCCTGGGCACTCTATGCATGGGACTCACAGAATACATACAGTAGACAAAGCATGTATACAGTAAAATAAAAAAAAACCTTAACAGAAGAAGGGGGAGGAGGAGGAGGGATCTGGAGGAAAGCAAGCCGAGAGATGAACAACAGAGAACCTTCCTGAAGAAAACGTTGGCACACCTGGATCGGGTTGTGCCTCCAGTCAATGAGAGCTATCTCGGTGGAATGAACCCATCACTGCCTCTTCCAGCTTACGTCTCATAAACCTGGATTCTGTTACAACCCTCACTGAGTCAACTGTAATCTAGCTCCTAATGCTGTGTGTTCTTTTAGTCCCTCTTTCAAAGACTCCGATATTTATAGCTTTTTATTCCACAAAGGATTCAAACTACCATACAAATTATATTTAATAGAATGGGATGGAAAGGTGTTACAAAAACATCAATTTGGAAGACACATTATCATGATCCCAGGAAGGCAACCAGCATGCAGTTACCTGTGAATGATACAGGGACCAAGAAGGCGTGTTCAATCCAATGACAAACCTGGTTCTGATACTTCATATTGGCCAAGGCCAAATGTGAATTGGGATTAATAAAATGATTTATTCAATCAATTTCAAAGGCTTCTTCCAACGTGTCAGAGAGCAGCTCAAATCTAGGTAGACACAATGGTCAAGTCACCTGCTGTCATCTTTTCCAAGGAAGCTTTGTGGTTTATGTTTCATCTGATGACCCATAACCAGCTCACAACAGAGGCTGAAGACCAAGGGCATCTTATTTATCTTGGTATCTGATCTCAGAGCATCTAATAAACAGCAGGCACCCATGAAATCTCTTAATGCATATTCTGTTGCCAAGAACTGCTTAGGTTCACACACCTGTAAAGACCACAGAGCCAATCCTGAAGAAAAAGATTTCCCACAAGACCCAAGTCATACGCTTACATAAATCTTAAATCTGTGACACATTTTTCGATCTCAGACTAATAAGAGCTGAGTTGTAATGAGATCCGTTTGCCCAAGTCTAGGAAAGGAAAGCCGCTCCTCCAAATTAGATCGTGTGCTTTCTACATTGTATTGGCTTTACTGGAAGCACACTTATGCTAAATGTCAATTTCAAAAGCCCTGGCTCTAATGGCAAAGGCTTTAGTTCAGTAGTCAAAACAGACACAGAACAGTGGCATTAATTAGAGACCTTGGGGAATGGATGAATATCATTAAGAAGCTTCTATCCTCACTGAGATGTTATCTACATAATTACACACACACAAAAATGGGTCTGAAAAAGGCTTTTAGTGGTGTTCACACTGCTAGCCAGGAAGCCAAATATACGGTGTACCCAGAACTGGATTTCCCTGGGAAAAGATGCACTTCCTGAGGGCTCGGGGACTCCCTTTCCACCCTGTGTCCATGCTGGGGCAGCTTGGTGGATAAGAAGACAGTTTGGGCTCACATCTTTACTTGATTCTTTCCCAACCATCTGACCCTCCTGGAGTTTCAAATCCTTCTCTCGGTTCTCACGTGAACACAGTGGAGATGACATCTCAGAGAATGTCTTAATCACACACAGAAAATATTTGTAAGACACTAAGTACTGCTGCTGGCAGTAAGAGAATAAGCCCCTGCTGTTAGAGATGTGGGTGTGTTGCTGGGGGTGCTTTTGTTTGCATGTGATGTTCGTTTATGTTGACGATTGGAAATAGCCCACTGAAAATCACACGACAGCTAATCACGGAAAATCACAACAGAGTTAGTGATCTAAAAATCTACTCACTGGCCCCAGGTGGCTCAGGAGATAAAGGCACCTGCCACCAAGCACGGGGACCTGCATTCAATCCCTGGGACCCACGTGTCGGAAGGAGAGAACTCTTCTCGCAAGTTGTTACCTGAACTCCACATTTGCTCGGTAGCACGTGCCCTCCGGACACAGGCACACACACGTGCACGCACTCTCTCTCTCTCTCACACACACAAATAATGTAAAAAGTTAAACTCATTTTAATATGAGAAAATCGATTCACCTTATAAAGTATATTCAGGTTAAATTCTTTAATGATAAACCCATTAAAAGGCTAGAGGAGGGTTGGAGAGATGGCTCTTCCAAAGGTCCTGAGTTCAATTCCCAGCAACCACATGTCAGCCCACAACCATCTGCAATGAGATCCCATGCCTTCTTTGGTGCGTAGGCATACAGACAGACAGAACATTGTATATATAATAAATAAATAACCGTTTAAAGGAAGGAAGGAAGCATTACATACAAAAACCAAATATTAATCCCTGAACCATGGTAGCTTCACAGTGACGTGGAATCCTACCTGCCATAGCCAAACCTCAGTCACCCTCACCAATGCCATGGCTGTCTATATCACTTGCCAAAAGCACAAACTTACACTTGCCTATGAAAGCTTTTCAACGGGGAGGGGCACTATCTGCATTATGGCTGCTGTCTGCTGTGCAGCCTGAGGTCTCTCCTCCCTACCTGAAGGGTCAGGTTGCTCCTGCTGTTAAGGACTTTCCTCTCTGCATCCTGGAATGCCTTCTGCAGCCTCTGCTCCATCGTCTGGGCAAACTTGCAGGACTGAATGTTGTCCGACTGGCTTACAAACTGCAACACTAGAAAAAGAACCGCAGTCACCACCACTCACCAACGCTGTCTGAGTTCCTCAGGTTCAATAGCAGTCGTGATACAAAACTGTGTGACTTTTAGGCTACAGAAACTAGGCAAATAAACAGTAAGACCAGCCAAGCTTTAATTACAGTTTTGAAGGTGGCTCCTAAGATGATTTATAACAGAGAATAATTAAAGCATGAATGAGCCCAAAGTGCTCTCTAACACAGAGGATGTCATGACTTTATCCCACGAGATTGAAGACATCTGCTCAAACATGACAACCAGTGCCCTCGATTTCTGTGCATGGGGATGATCATTGTCCTCCATACTAAGCTGATGGTTTCCATCACCATGGTACCGCCATACGTGTGCTTCACAGACTTTGCAAACCAGCAACCACAAGAGAAATTGAGAGAAAGCTGTCAAAGTCTTTGCTGGGAGACTATGTCACTAACAGTTAAAACCTGTTAGTTCCAGACTATAGGTTTTATAGGTGCTCAACTTAGAGTAGTAGATTCTGTGCTGCAATGCACTAAGAATATGGATTGGGAGGAATAGCCTCTAGGGTGGAACATGCCCAAGAAAGTCAGAATTACGGGTGTTCTGAAGTGGGGAACTTGGATACTGATGAGCAGGGAAGTTTGACTGTATAAGGACTATGGATACTGGCAAGCAGCTGGCAGTGGGGCTCTAGACTGTGCTCTGCTTGTCTGGCCCTGGATGATGGGACTTGCCTGTCTTCAGCTGGAAGGCACCTGCAGGCTGGGGCTTCCACGGGGAGGCAAGCACCGCCACAGACTGTAAGGAGGGAGTGTGTTGCTTCAGGTCGGCAGTGACATTGCTGACTCCATACACACTCAGCATGTCCATCACCACAGCAGGCAAATACACCAGCCTGCCTTTGGTAGCATAGTAGCCAACCGTGACGTTATGAGAATATTCCAGGATGTCCACCTACAAAACAAATGGACCCCAGAATGCACTGTTTATTCCCATAGTACTTTAAGTTCCTCTTTGTGTTCTTAGAGTCCCAGCTGCTACCTAGTAAGACTGTAGACTATGATTTTCTCATTGAACATATATCCTAACAACTCTGTAAAGTGCACACGTGAATTCCAAAGTATGACAATACAACAAAATAAAACTCACATCAAACTACATAAGATAAAGCTGAATCTGGCTTTGGATTCCTTGAGTATTTTGAGTAAGATCCACTGAGCACTAATTCTATCACCAGGATGCCAAAGAGGGAGCAGCAGGCAGAAGAGACAGCTAAGAAGCAGAATGCTGCTTAGCAAAAAAGTTAAGACATCTCACTATTGCTGGTAGGGAAAAGGCAGAGACGGTGACTGAAGTAGGACACGTTCTGAGAATGGGAGACAAGGTATCTAAAGTAGAATCTTCTGCCTTGAAGCAGAGAGGAAGCCTTCAGGCTTGACGCCTTCCCTGGCTTAGATCCTGGTTCATGGCCAAGGTGGGGATGAATCAGAGGCCTTTTCTCCCAGGTGAGTCTTAAGGGTATTGACAGCCTAAGCCCTCTCTGTTCCAGTGGAAGGATTTTGAAGTTTTAAAACTTATTCTTACTGCATTTTGCTTTGTTGATGATATTGTATGTTTATAGTTTTAAGTGTGTGTTTTTGTTTTTAATATATTAAATGTGATGTTTATCATAAAATTGGAATTTTGGAAAATTAAGAGAGAAAATGGTAATTGTCTCAGTTATTACTACCACTACCTGCTATGTGGATCTCCTGTCAATTATTTTTGCCTGGAAATACATATTTTTGTGTATATGTATATATATGTGTGTGTGTGTGTATGTAAAGAAATGTAGGGTTAAGCCAGCCCCTTAGGGGGCGGGCTTGCCTCGGGCGAATGTTTACTTATAAATCGGGTGCGCAGGAGCCCACACGCCACTTCCTGCTTCCTGTGCTCTGCGGGAACCTCGGTCCTGTAAGTTTATTTCTTCATTAAAGCTGTATATATTTCTTTACAATCTGCCTACAATTATTTACGCCGTTACATATTTGGCGCCCAACGTGGGGCACAAACCCACGACCCTGAGATTAAGAGTCTCATGCTCTACCGACTGAGCTAGCCGGCAGGTCTTTTTAGATACACAGAGATTATATTTAGTATAGATAGTATAATATTCAACCTCGTTGAAGAGCTGTAGAAAATGGCCTTTAATCTAACCTAAAATTCTGTGCCAACGAGACACAATTACTCCTGGCAATGCCACTCTACTCCCGAGAAAACATTAAACACCAAAGACACTCCACTGGGAGCTTGTCTTCTTGGCAGTACTGGCCTTTGGGTTAAAAAAAGCCCATATCTCAACTACTAACTAAGATATAAAACAGGACTGTCTTATCTTGCCAAGACAGGGTAGGATAATTCTAAAAAAGTTCCTTACATTTGATAATGGTATGTCAGTTATGTTAGGACTTAGCCAAAGTTGGTTGACTCAACATTGCAAGCGAGACTTTGGGTGATTGCCCAAGTAGTCAGTTGTCTCTGTCATTTGTTGCACATTTTGGATATCTCTCATTTGTTAAGTAATAAAGAAATATAAAAATATACACATTCATATACTTATATGTATATAGGGTAAATCCTGCTACATAATCTCTTCGCTTTTCTCTATGCCTGAGTGACTATATGTTTGTGTCTGTACATATGTGTGTTTGTCTATGTGTATATACATGTGTATATATTTGTGTGTGTTTGTATGCATCATGTGTATGCATGTATGTATATATATATATGTGTGTGTGTGTGTGTGTGTGTGTGTGTGTCTTGCTGGAGATTGAACCTAGGACTTTGTACACAGTAGACAAAAGCTCTACTTTCAAGCAGATCTCCAGCTTCCCTTATTCTTTGTGTTGTGGTAAAACCCAGACCACATACAATCTACTGTCTAAACCCTGCCTTACATGCTCGTTCACTGATACTTTCAACACCCAGATTATGGATGTGACCAGCATCCCCACCCCTCTCCCGTGGATTTCATGCTGTGTGTCAGACTGTCTTAACCTCTGCATACTTCCCCATTCCTGCATCTGCATCCCTGTAAGGCTGGAGAGACAGGTCAGGAGCAATCCATTAGCACAAGGCCCCAAGTCACAAACATTTTTCAAAGAACTCAAGAAAACTGAGTTTGCAACATGATGGATGCAATCTGGTCCTTCTAAAGTGTTCTCGATGGTTCTTTATAAAAATGACTAACCAAGGAGCTTTAAGATGGCCCGGGAACACAGCCCCAAGGAACAACTCACCCAGTGAGCATGCTGTGAACTTCCCAGACCTTCTAATTTCTTCAAAGAGCAAGCCTTGTTTCGGGGACTATTTGCTTTTCATACATTTATAACCCCCGTATGTCTTTAAAAACAAACAAAGGAACGAACCAATATCGGAGCAAAGCGATGCCAGGCTCTGCCCCCCAACCTAGTGCGGACAATGTCGGCTAACTGGAACTCTTTGTGCCCATTAGTCTCATTTTTGCCTGTGGTGATATTTTGTTTGTGCTATAAGAAATTAAGCTTGCCTGAGGATCAGAGTGTGGAGCGAGCCATTAGGTAGTCATAGAGGCCAGGCAGTGGTGGCGCACACCTTTAATCCCAGCACTCGGAAGGCAGAGGTAGACAGATCTCTGTGAGTTCAAGGCCATCTTGGGCTACACTAGATTGATCCAGTCTCAAAGAGAAATAGAACCAGGTGGTGGTGGCTCTCACCTTTAATCTCAGTATTTGGGAGTCACACACCTTTAATCCCAACACAAGGGAAGTGGAGACAGGAAGGGATATGGCTGGGCAGAGAGAGGAATATAAGGTGGGAGGAGAGAGGAGCTCAAGACAGTCAGTCTGAGGACTTGTAAAGACAGGATACCCCATTCAGTCTGAGGACTTGTAAAGACAGGATAACCCGTTCAGTCTGAGGATTCCTGGGGACAGGATCTTGCCCGCTTCGGTCTGAACATTCAGTTGAGGTAAAAAAAGTCTCTCTGGTGGCTGGCTCCTTTACTTCTCTGATCTTTGAGCATTTACCCCAATATCTGATTCTGTGTTTTTTTTAAGACCAATTAGAATTTGTGCTACATTTGACACTACCACTTATTCATGGAAAGTGATCCTGATTTACGTTCATATATATGCTGATATAAAACTGTGTGTTAAGTTTACAGAGTGCACCAATTATTTTTAGAGACTAGAAACAGTTCCAGGGGTCTGCAGTGCTGTGCAGGAAGAACGGAAGCTGCGGAGGCCCCCAGAAAAGGACTGCGGCCCCGCAAAAGCCACGCCAGGCACGCGAAGGAGAGCAGTTCCGTGCTCAGCTTTTGGGTTTGAAAGTTTTAAGGTTTCCAGTACTTTTCCCTCCTTTTCTCCCTTCTTGCTTCCTCTCGATTTCTTTTTTTCAGAACTGTAAAAGAGAGATTGACAGCGACCAAACGAGGATGTGCCAAAATCTCACCCTAATCCCCTGTATGATGGGTGGTGGGACGACTCGACTGGATGCAGCTGTTACCCAGGCCATCAGAAGAGGACGCTAGAATGATATGTTTAAGTCGTACAAAAGGGAGCCCGCTGGCTGCCAGTTGCATTCACTGCTCTAACACTTGGGATCAACCCAAAAGACTGTAAAACAATGCCTCTGCCGCTTGGCTGTGCCACTGGAGCCAGCCCGCACTTACTAAGCAGTACTTGGCATTGGAGTGTTTGGAGGGAAAAATGTTTACTTCCCTGTCTGCTGCTGGCATGCCAAACAAAGTGGAACTCCTCTTCCAGATCTGAGTAATTAGGGCTTTTGTTGTTAGTAGTAGTGGTTTGGGTTTGGGTTTTCGAGACAGTCTTAATCTGTAGCCCAGGATAGCTTCAAACTTGGGTAAATCCTCCTGTTTCTCAGCCTCTCACTTTCTGAAAGTATAAGCATGCAATATCTACCTGACTTTATTATACCTGTTAAATGTCCAGAAATAAATCACTGTTTATAGTTGTGCAGAAGATAAACAGAAAAAAACAAAAGACAAAACAACAATGCATTGATCACTTCTAGAGGAAACCAAATACTCCTCCAATGACGGGACAATTTTTAAAAATATGAAAGTAATAAAGGTAATTAGTCTCAAGTTTTCCTCTTGAAATGACCCTTTTCTCCAGCCACACACGTTAGCTCTCTGCTAAAAATGTCAAAAACTTCTGCTTCCAGCAAGTGTGGGTGTGGCGCCTAGGAAGGAGGAAAACATCTACTCCTACTCTGAGCCCGAGGGGTGTGGGCTGAATTGGCCGTCTTAGGAAGGAAGGAGCTTACGTGAGCGGAGACATCATTCTGGTGGAAAGCCTTCCGCAATGCCTGCGTGAGCCCTTTGGTTACACCAAGCTTCAAGGACTCGCTGCTCTGCACTCTCCTCTGAGTTAGGAAGAAAACTGTGGGGTGAAACAGAGGCACAGCAATCAGAGTTACTAGTGAACGTCATAGTGACCAGTCAGCCCCCAGTCTCGGCGTCCATCTAACCCAGAGCACGGCTGAATCGGCAAAGGTCCACCAATCAGGGGACAGGCTGAGGAGTGACTGTTGAAGGCCCAAGCCGTTTTGGGGGTCTTAATGCTGTAGAGTTGGTGTGCTGATGATCGCACATCGTTTCCAGCTCACTCTGCCTCTGACTGTGAGGACCAGCAGCCTCCATTCCTGGCCCCCAGCAGGTCAACATGCAACCACAGTTCTGTAATGGCATACTTAGAGACTGACCCTGAACTGAGTTCTACAGTTCTGATCAGTTCAGAAGGGACAGGCCCACTTCACAGGTGCAAGTGGCATCTGTAGCTGAATTTAACTGTCACTATTAGAAGGAAATTAGAGTTCTACCAAGGCTTCTGGAAGAGGTTGGGATCAGGGAAGGTCTCCATGGGAATTATGCTTCTGACGAGTACTGAAGTGTGACAGTGGTCTGCTAAGCAAGAGGAAGGGACTGCCCTCCCCCTTACCCCGACTCCCAGAGCCAGGGGTGCCAAGTGAAAAGGCTGGGGGGGGGGAGAGGAGTGAATCTTGTCTGTGTATGTGTTTCACTTAATTCTAAGGGAGAGAGGAAATAGGAATTTAAAATGTATTCTAGAAGACCCCTTTGACTACATGCTGGTAAATAGACTGAGGTCTGGAGAGAGAGAGACATGTGTATAGGGTAGCAGTGATGGTGACAGCAGGCACGAGGTAGTGGCAGTGGGCGGTGGGATGGAGAGAAGGGATATTCAGAATGAGACGAGAAAGATCTGGTGGGGGCACTGAAGAAGAGAGCAGCTGAGAAGGTGTTTCTGCGGGGCGGGGGCTGGAAGAAGAAGGCATGGATCTGGAGAGGGGAAGGGGTTAAGAATCCAGATGGCATAATAGAGAAACAGAAAGAGATACTGTATTTTCTGCTGTGCCTAGTTTCACAATTTCCCATTTTAGAATAAGATAAGTCTCAAGATATAATTTCTCCTCGTTCGTTGTGGGGCGAGGAGGAAGGCGGGAATGAGCACTCAACACTGGCATGCTCTCTCAAATAATCTGTCCAGTGCTTTTTATAGAAAACACTACTGCACTATTCAAAACACTCCAAGTATTCTAGACTTGCTTTCTGCAACCAGGGAGTGGGGCAGAGAAGAGATCAACCCCACTGACATCAAAAGAAATCCCAGACCCCACCCACCATGCGATTCAACTGTCTGCTATTAAGAAAACCTTTCTGAACGGCACAGCGATTCCCAAGAATCTGTGTTAGATGATCCACATCATTTATTCATGTGAGACATTACTGGTAGACTTCACAGACAAAATACGCTGTGTTCCGGAGCTTTCTGACCCACTGGGCTAATTGTGGTTTCCCTAGACACTTCTGATGCCAGAACCAATCCTAGGGCTAGGATCTGTGCCATCCAACGTTCCCCTTTTCTGACACTTGATGAGAGTCAAGGTTTCTCAACCTTGACATACTAATTAGTCTGTCTCTTTCTTCCACCCCACCCCCAAGTGTGTGTCTCTGTGTGTGCGTGTGAGTGTGTGTCCTTGTATGTGAAAGGCAGAGAATACCCCCAGGTTATTCCTCATGTTCTACCCAGCTTGTTTTTTGAGACAAGGTCGTAGCTCATCAAGTAGGCTAGACTGACAGACTGGTCAGGGAGCTCCAGAAATCTGCCTGTTTCTGCTTTCCCAGAACTCTGGGGTTATAAGCTACCGTAGCCAGTTTTCTTAAAACATGGGTTTCAGGAGGTCAGCTCAGGTCACCATGTTAAGCACCTTACCAACTGAGTGTTGTCTCCAGCCACAGTTAGTCTTTATTGTCCAGACTGAGCACGGTGAAACGTTCAACACCATCCCAGGTGCCCACAGGTTCCAAGCAACACCCCTTCCCAAAGTGCGACAACCAAAATGTCTCCAGACATTGTCACACCTCAGAGAAGGAGGCCGAGAGCACTCCTGATTGACACGCACTGATCTAAGAGAACCCGTTCTGTTGGATGGCTGAGGTCAGGATTGCCCCTATGTCCTCAGACCAATAAGACTGTGGCCTCTCACCTGTCTTCACTAGGAGCCTGTGGGACATCTGACAGTCCAAGTTGGACGCCATCCTGCCAGTTGTGACCATTGCAGTAGACACAGCCGGGAAAGCAGCGTCCGTGTTTCCTGTCTGCAGAGATGGCAGCCTCGTGGCCTTTACTGATGCTGTAACGGATGTCAGTGCAGCAGTGATTGTCAGCGGGCGGGCGGTGGATGCTCTGGGTGTGTCTGGCCTGGTGGGATTAGGGAGGCCAGTGTGCATGGCTTGTGGTTTCTTGGGGAGGTGTGTGGTGGACAACAGGCCCGAAGCAGAGCCCGTGGCCCCTTGTGTGGCTGTATGTGTGCTCATGCTGTGTGCTGTCCGGGCAAGCATGTAGGTTGGTGTGATTGGGAAGGCAGTGTGGACTGTCCCTGCTGTCACCTTTGGGCTGGACGCTGCTTTGCTGGTGACATTTTTAGCTAGAGCTGTGGTTAGACCGCTCTTGGCTAAACCGCCGTTGCTGCCAGTGCCCTTAGCAGTGAGGGCTGCAGACAACGCTGCTGGGCTTGACTTCCTCAGAAACAGGGTGGTGGTGGCAGCGGCTGCAGCTGTTGCCGTCAGTTCTCCCTTGGGTGACACTGAGGTTTCCACTGCAAAGAGAGAAAAGGAAGAGTTTGTCATTGGTCTGGGATGCACACGTCACTCTCCTGACGATGAAGACATGTAACTTATGAGCTTGCTAGTGTAAGATGTCTCTATGCTCCAGGCTTGCAGCGGGGAGAACTCAGGCAAAACAACCTTAGGTTCATTAAGTCAATTAGTCATAATGCGAATGCCACGTACAGCAAAGCCATGGTTGTTGATAACAAGGAAATAAATTCTGAATACTTTCACAAAACTCAAGGAGGCAGGGAGGATCAGCTGCATGCCTGTCTGGAGTTGTACCTCACTACAGACCGAGGGGAGGCGGGCTGCTTCAAAGCAAAGCTGCGCATCTGTGTTGAGCTTGAAGATGCTTTGGCCGGAAAAGCAGTCATACCTGTTTTCTGGGTACCAGGAAGCGAACTACCTGCATTAGTGGCTGCACCTGTCCGTGTCTTGGGGCGCCGAGAAGTTCGCAGCACTTTGGAGGGGGTCCTGGAAAAGGCACCAGTTGATACGGAAGTGGAGTCTGTAGATGAGTGGTATTCCAAGACACTCTGGAATTGTGGGGAGCCATTCTTTCCCGGCGACAGAGAGGTGTCACTGGAAATTTGTGAATCTGTGTCTGTTCCATCTGAAAGCATTTGCTGCAAGCTAGCTGCAGAAGCTAAGCTTGGCCAGGTTGGCCAAAGAGGATGGGCTGGCCGGAGAGGCAGCTGCGACATAGAATGTTGACGTGTGGGTGGATAATAATCACCTATCGCTGCGTCAAAGTCTCTTGGGTGCTTGCTTGTGAGCCAGAGGTCTGCGTGGCTTTCAACTATGGCCCCTTCCGATGGCCGCAGGGGCTGATTGCCACTCTGACTGAAGACTAGATCCTGAAAGTTAAAGCCATCTGTAGTCACCAACTGCCCAACAGCCTCTTTGAAATTCTGAGGATGTATCGCATTGGCATCCAAAGTTGTACGGCTGGGAAGAGTCACAGTAGTTGGAGGAGGCTCCCAGCTTGTGGAGCTAATTGTGGGAGTGTTTAAATCACTATCCATTTGCCATGGCAAACCAGATATTGTCGATTCTGTGGAGAAGGATGCAGTTGCCACAGCAAGAGAGCTCCAGAGAACATCTGTGGCTGCTGGCTTTCTCGTGCCTTCCATTGTTGGGAACTCATAGACATCGGGGGAGGAGGGAAGGGCTGGCACCTGTCTGGAAGCTGAAGCTGGCAACCCAGACGGGCTTGCCACAGCTGCCAGAGTCTCCAGCTTGGTGCTGGAAGAGCCAGGAGGAGAACCTGCCTGAGGGGCTTGTGAGACGAGCATGGATGATGGAGGTGACCCTGAAGGAGAGAGGTCTGTTCTTAGTGCTGTCTTGATGAGAGGAGAGACTTCACCTGTGTTAAAATCAGAGGTGAATCCACTCACTGCTTGAAGACTTGACGCCTCTTTAGTTGGAAGGGCCCACAGAGGAACTGTCCCATTTGCCTTCTCATTTCCCCCCCAAATGGCTGTAACCCTGTCCTCTTTTTGCTGAGGAAATGTCCAAACTGTAGGGGGAAGATCAGGACGTTTGCTGGAGGGGAGGCGTATGGCTACATCAGGAAGGTATCCACCACGGCCATCTTCCTGGGGACTGGAGGCTTCTAGCACGGGGTCTGGGGAGGCACGGTCTCTAGTGGGCTGGAGGATGGTAAGCAGGGAGGGAGGGGCGCCCGTCCCCTTCAGTGGTGATCCAGGAGCCGCCTCAGAAAGGTCCATTTGCTCTTGACTGGGTGTAGTGAGTGGCAGAGAAAGCAGCGAGGAGGAAGGGGTGTTTTCTGGGGAGCGGGAGGGCTTCCTGGAATTCTCCGGAGCCGCTGCCAGATGTGGCCAGGTGGTGGCGCTATTTGCAGGAGGAACAGGGGCTCGCTCTCTGCTGCTCGTCCCTGACTCTGCAGTCTGGACGTGTAGGGGCCAAGCCTCATAGCTTGCTGCTGCTGTGCCCAGATTAATGGTCGATAATACCCCACTGCGCCCTCTGACAGCCCTCGCGGTGGGGCCTGGCTGGGTGGATGCAGAACTCAAGGGCTCTTCCAACATTGGCCACGAGGAGGTTCCACCTGGAAGGCCTCCAGGGGCTACGGAAGGAAGAGATAGTTCTGCCAGGGAGCTCAGAGCCCCGGGAATCAGGGAACCTGCTGAGTGGGGAATCCCTGATGGGACCAGCTCAGAGTACTGCTTTGTTAAGGGTCTAGAAAAGTCTAGAGGAGGGGTACCAATGAAAGTCCGGGCATTTCTGGATGGAAAGTGGTTTGTTTTGTGAGAAAATGGTTTTAGGACATTAACTGGGTTCTGACCTGAAGAGGAATCAGCTGGTGTGATTTGGGGAAACACAGGCACTTTGGTGGGGTGATCTATAGGCTTAGGAGTGATGGAATGAGATGAACCAGGGACCAATGAAGATGATGATGGTGGAGGGAGAAGGGGAAGGCTGTCTGACCTCAAGGGATGCTTTGAAAGGGAGGGAGTCGCCACCAGAGGCTGTGATGGGGAAGCAGCCCTCGAGGCAGCTGGCGGGGCTCTAGGCAATGGGGAAAGCATGCTGGTGCGAGGCAAACCTGACATGGCTGTCGCTTCTCTTTCCCCTTCAGGCCTGGGGTGGACCACAGTCTCCATGGAGTCCTTAGCAAGATCCGGGGAGGCGCCGTGTCCACTTCCTTGGTAAAGGGACGAAGAGAAGTCCACACGAGCCCTGGTCTTGTGGCGTGCCTTGGGAAGAGGTGTCTGGGATAGCTGCAGCAAGCTTGTGTTGTCGGAAGGCTGTCCCAGAACATTCTTGATTTTATCTGCTGCTGAGGAAGACTTGACTTCCAAAAAAGGCCATGTTGGTGAAATTGGTAACAATTTCCCGAGAGGAATGGACTCTGAGGTTGGAGTGACATGTATCTGTAGATTGTCTGTCCCTGTGGAAGAGAGCATCCACGTGAGACATGGGATCGAGATACGGCTACGATGGGCAGGGGCTGGAGACCAGAGCAGGCAAGACAGCTCTGCCTGGCCACAGAGCCCTTCCAATCACCATAGACCCGTCGTGAAACAATTCGAACAAGGAACTCAGTCCAAATGTGCAAGGCAGAGAATTCACAGGGCAGTGCCATAAAAGTAGTCTTTGATGAAGGAATTCTTTTGAAGACAGGGTCTTACATGTAACTCACAGAGATCTGCCTGTTTCTGCCTTTCGGTACTGGGGTTAAAGGCGTGTGCAAACCACACCTAGCTGATAAAAGGACTTTTGAGCAATATTATAAAAGACACTCATGTATTTCATTTTTTTCCTATTTCCTACCAGGATAAAAGCCCACAAAAATCAGACAGACATGGCTACCTACAGCTAACAAATGACACCAAAATAAATCTGAGCCAAGACCCCAAAATGCACAGTACTGAAGAAGGACCATCCTCTATGAACGTGTTCTCAGGCCCCTAATACATCTCAAGAAAAATATCTTCAAGAATATATTCTAAGGAAAAATGACTTCAATGAAATGCATTTCTCCCGAGTTTAAAGGGATTCCTGGTTCTTTGTTCATGCTGTGTCAAGGAACAGAAGAGATTTCTTTCACATTAGGTTATTGCAAAAGGAAAAATTATTCATCTCCCACCTAGGACAGGAGATACTTCTCGAAAGGCCTGGTGTCACTATCAGCACCTGCTGAGACCAGAACTGTCAGCACAATGCATGACGCCCCGGCAGAAAGGTGAGGAGGCCCTGGACCGCAGCAGGAAAGGAAGGTGGGAGAGATGGAACCGTGGGATGGCACACGTCCTTCTCTATGATGCCCCCTTCCTGGCTCCTCTGGGTTGGTGGTACAAAAGGTGGCTAAGTGTTCTTAGCTAATATTTCTCTCCTTCTCTCCTTTCTCTTCTCAGCATCTCTCTCTCTCTCTCTCTCTCTCTCTCTCTCTCTCTCTCTCTGTGTGTGTGTGTGTCTACACTGATATGTGTAAGGTTAACCATGCATATGGAGGTCAGACATCACCCTTCAGTACCATTTGGTTCTCTAGAGCTGTCCACAGTTCCTTGAGATGAGATCTCTCACTGGGACTTGGAACTTGCCAACGAGGCTAGGCTAACCTGCCAGAGAGCTCCAGGGACCCATCCTCTGGCTTCCACCTCCCCCATGCTGGGATTACAAGCATGCACCAGCTTGCTTAGCTTTCTGCTGGCCTCTGGAGATCAAACTCAGTTCCTGGTCCTTCAGTCCTTCAGGGGCAAGAACTTTACCAACTGAGTCGTCTCCTCGGGCCCTAAGGCTTTAAGAGTTTTAAACGAAAGGAAGAGTACTTGTAGAGCTTTCTACAATCTTAGCTAAAATATTAGAACCGTTTGATAGAAACCATTTATTAGGAATTCCGAACGTCTGGTTGATAGCTATCCTCAGCCACCCAGAGTTGAGCATGTGTCTCTGGCATCTGTGGCATAGCTAAGGACAACAGGCACAGCAGAACGAATCCACTCAGCACCTGTACGGAGCAAATGAACTCGCGGAGGTGGAGGGATGGGCTGGGCTCTCTGTGTAGAAAAATCACTAAGCTAATAAGTTCTGATTACAACCTGGGCTACTCTGTTGACTGTAACTAGGAGCCTGGCCCGCAGAGAGGACGAGCACAGGAGCAGGCCAGGGTGTGAGGGCTCCTCCCTGCCGGGGCTAGGCTGCCTTTCTCCTGTTCTGTATTCTGCCAAGCAAGGAAGTGAACAACTGGAGAAAGTCTTTCAACGCGAAAGCTTTATGATAAGCAACATCCTCTCCATGACGAAAGTTCAGTAGTAACCGTCTTCCGAAACGATCTTTCCAGTTTCTCTGTGAGGCTTGGGAAAAACATGCAGATGGGAAGTTTTCACTCTGAATAAGAGCACATGGACATTTTCCTTTTGATCCTTTGTGTTCTTGTGTTTCTTTAAAGAACAATTTTAAATTATTTTTATTTTATGTATATGTATGGATATTTCGCCTGCTTGTATTCATGTGGACCACATGGCCATAGAAGAAGGTGCCAGATCCCCTGGAACTGGAGTTACAGATGGTTGTGAGCCACCATGTGGGTACTAGAAATTGACCCTTGGTCCTTTGAAAGAGCGACAAGTGCTCTTAACCTTGGAGCCATCTCCCCAGCCCCGTATTCTTGTTTTAAAAAAATTTTCCATTGTTGAGATTCATATATAAGAAATTGGCCTCACACTTTGTTGACTCACTATGGGAGGCCTTATGCTTTCTGAGAAGTGGATGGAGGTGAGTTGGGGGGAAATAGGGGAAGGCGGTGAGGGGAGGAAAGGGAACTGTGGTTGGTATGTAAAATGAATAAAATAAATAAAATATATATAAAAAAAGAAGAAAAAGAAATTGGCCTCAAGTCATTTTTAGGATTTGTCAGGGTATAAGCCCACCATCCTCAATGGGACGCTGTTACATTCTGTAAGGAGACCAATGTCTTCTGAGGAAGCCACCCTAAGCCTGACTGGCTCCTTATAACCTTGTCAGGATTCTGTGGGGCCCTACCTAAAGGACCCAAAGCTCCCCGTGGTTCAGCCAGGTAAACCCACCTTCAACAGACAGCAGCATCAGGAGGCACACAGCTCCAGGACACAAAAATCTACACAGCACTGCTCTGAAGTCCCTGCTCTTCCAAGGACCCCCTTCATGGTCTACAGTGAAAACCACTTCAGTGTTACCACAGGCGACCTGAGGGGTGTTCTCCCGGGCAGCTGAAGTTTCACACGGAGGGCACACACTACTGCTTTTGCGCCTCCCCACTCTGCATTCGTGTCCTCTCCTAACAGACACTGTGTATCTGCATACAGCCACGTCTGGTGATGCATGGGAGTGAATGCAGAATCTGTCGAAGATAGTGTGGCAGTCAGGTGAAACCTACCGATGATCCCTGTTTACTTATATTGAAACAATTCATCCGTTGGTCTGATTCCAGAGTCAAAGCAAACTCATCTTGTTTCAAAGACACAACCTCGTAACTAAGGATGCTCAAGCTAAGCTCTCATTTCTGGCAAGATGTTCTCCCACAAACATGTTGCAAATGAGGGGAGGGATGGATGTTGGGGGGTGATGGGAGGGTCACTGACCACACCAAAGGAGGCTGATGAAAAACCCCAGGCTCTGCATGATGGCCCATGGTGGATTGGTTCTTCTGACTAGGATCCAGGGTTTCCCAGGGGAGCCTTTATTCTCCCACACGACTCCCAGTGCATGGGGAGGAAGTATTTATGAATAGTTTTGAGATGGGCCATCTGCTGTGCGTGACACTCATTAATGCTCTCTCTACCCTCTGAGTACATGACGTCATGAAGCCTCATGAATGAACTTCTTAAAATACCATGATGATTGGCGGGCACCATGTGACCAATGAGTCATAAACAAAATGGCAAGTGTGACTTGTGGGTAAGACGTTTAAATGCTGCAGGAAGACATCCCAGAGATCACTTTCCCGGCCAATGAGATGTCTCAGCACATGAAGGCATGTGACGCCAAGCCCAACAACGATGTGTGTGCATACATAGAGCTGTGAGTGTGCATGCATAGAGCTGTGAGTGTGTGCGTGCATAGAGCTGTGTGTGTGTGTGCATAGAGCTGTGAGTGTGCATAGAGCTGTGAGTGTGCGTGCATAGAGCTGTGAGTGTGCATGCATAGAGCTGTGAGTGTGCGTGCATAGAGCTGTGAGTGTGCGTGCATAGAGCTGTGAGTGTGCATGCATAGAGCTGTGAGTGTGTGTGCATAGAGCTGTGAGTGTGCGTGCATAGAGCTGTGAGTGTGTGTGCATAGAGCTGTGAGTGTGTGTGCATAGAGCTGTGAGTGTGCATAGAGCTGTGAGTGTGTGTGCATAGAGCTGTGAGTGTGCTTGCATAGAGCTGTGAGTGTGCATGCATAGAGCTGTGAGTGTGTGTGCATGGAGCTGCCAGTGAATGAATGGGCCAGTGAGCTAAACACACCTCCAAAGAAGAAATACAAGTATCCAATAAATAATTATTTTAAAGTCCAACATCTAACAATCAGGCAACTCTAAATTAAAACTACTTAGAGATTCTGTCTCACTAGAGGCAGAATGATGCCATTTAAAAATGCTGCAAAGATGTGAGGAGTTGGAACCCTTAGTCACTGTTGGAGTATAGACTGGGGAGGTCACTATAGACATCAGCATGGACATTTACCATCCAACTCCCCTACCCCACTCTTGGGCATACGACCAAAGGGCCTCTATGTCCCATCACTGAGCTACTTGTCCATCCATGTCTATTACTTCTTTAGCCACAATAGCAAAAACATCAAGTCAGCTTAGATGTCCATCAACAGATGATTGGATAATGATATTTCAACTGTAAAGAAAAATGAAAAGTATAGGAAAACATGGAACTAGAAAATACTATGTGAAGAGAGGTATCCCAGGCAACAGGTAACCAGGAAACACAAGTATCATATGCCCTCTCCCATACATAGGTCCTAGCTTCTAATTTTTTTATGTCTGTATGTATGTGGTACGGGGGTGGGTGGAGGTTATGGAACTAGAAAGGGCCCAAGGTAGGGGGAGAGGTTTTA